AAATGTGTCAAACACTTCAAACGACTTCTTCTGAAGAACTGAAAGGTATAGAATCTTTATATTTAGCTATTGGCTTCCTGGGATAGAGCCCGACAAAGTTTGAAAACGAAAATGACCTTGACCTACTTTCAAGGTCACAGGAGTCAGATATGTCTAACGCTTAGAACAACTTCTTCTGAAGAACTGGAAGGTATAGAACCTTGATATTTGGCTGGTTATGTACTTGGAAAGAGCCAAACAAAGTTTGCGAATGCAAATGACCTTGACTTACTTTCAAGTTCACGGCGTTCCAATATATCAAACGGTTCAAACTACTTTTTCTGAAGAATTAAAATTATAATATTTGGCTGGTGACTTACTGGGATAGAGCTTACCAGAGTTTGCGAATGAAAATGACCTCAACCTACTTTAGAGGTCACAGAAGTCAACAACATTTTAAAGGATTTGTTCTCAAGAACTAAAAGGAATGGATTCTTAAGATTTGGCTGGTAGCATTTTGGAATAGAGCTAACCAATTTGAGAAGGAAAATGACATTGACCTACTTACAAGGTCACAGGGAAAAATATGTCAAGCAACTTCTGAAGAAGAATCAAAAAGCATAGAATCTTATAATAGTATTTTGCTGGTAGTTTCAACAGATGGAGCCAACAAAGTTTGCGAGGGAAATATGTTTAGTGCAATATAATATTTAATGAGAATATTTTGCTATGTTCAGGTGAGCGATACAGGCCCTCTTGTGCCTCTTGTTTTGTATAAGATGAGAACATCTGCATTCGGGAGACTGAATCACATATAACATAAATCTAATATAAAAAGCCGGATTGCACTATTCAACAAACTTGCTTGTAATTGTAATTGTAATATTCCTAATCTGAATCTTCCAATACATTTTGGTTTACTCCAAGGAAAATCACGTCACGCAGCAAGATATTAATAGGTCAATTTAGCCCGCTAATAAGTTGTATGTTAATTAAATATTTAAACATAAGTCCGACACAAAACTTGCTGTTTACAATAACTGGTTTCTGTGTTCAGACTACTATCATTATGTTATTCATAATTTCGCATTGTACTGGGTTTAAGATTACATGTACACCCTGGTTTTGATTAAACTATTTGTTAAGGTCGATAAAGCGTGCACAATGAAACACTTATGGATGGTGCTGACGTACTTAAGTAGTCTGTCTCATGGCACATTTTTGTGTGAGTATTGTTATTAACGAACAGGTCCTGCATATGTTAAAACGTCTCTATCAAAATACAAAATAGACCGGATACAAGTGTGCAGTCAATCGACATGTCGTATTATAAGTAGGGTTATCAAACCGGACGAATTTCAGTAACCAATTACTCGAAAAATCTTCCGACCGAATAACCGGTTAGTCGGTCTATTTTGTAATAATCAAACAACAAAAATAAAATACGTTATACGTTTAGCATAGTTTACCATTTGCCAACTATGCATTCTGGCTTCCTTTAAAAAAACTGTTCGGCATCTCTTTGTCAATCCATACTATTAAATACAAAAATAACACACTAACGTATGTGCCTGAGCGTTGTTTTTTATTGCCAAAAAATGCGTTTTCGTTCTCATCAAAAGAGAATATATAGGTATAAGCTAGGTGTACAGGGAGTTCCCCATAGGGCTAAATAAATGTCCGACTATTTGGTTATTGATCTTGGTAAACGGTTCGCGGTCTTCCGACCGAGAAACCGTTCAACCGTTGACAACTCTAATTATAAGACATAAAATGTGAATGTTACATGGGTTTTGATACGTGTTATGAGTATATACATCAGTTCTGAGCTGCAAGAGCATGTAAAATGATTTTTCATTTTTAGACCCACAGTGAAAATTGGCAGATTCAGAGGGAAACGGAAAAGACGTATAAGCCTTAGCATGACGTAAACATAGTTTATTGGTGCCGTCCTGTCTTTGGAAGCAAACATATATAACGCTGACAAAGTATCTCAAGATGTGTTGATGTTCTAGCCAAACGGGTGGAATATAGAGTCCTTCATGGTTTCCTAAAACGTTTGTATTTTTGTATAGGTATTAACGTCTTTTACTCAGACACTATGAAGACGGATGTTTCAGCAGGAACATTTTAGAAACTGAGGAAAGACTAGAGGCAAAAGTGTTTAGCTGATTTACTTAGGTCACTATTGGTGGTCGGGTGGCGCAGTTGATAACGAACTCGCCTTTCACCCCATTTACATGTTTTAACAAAATAAGATATTATACAATTTAAAGACTCGATTTTTTCTCCGCGGGATATAATTATAAATGAGTCCATTATAAACATGTCTTACTGGGAATAAACATTAAAAATGGATTAGCGAGGACTTCGATATCTGATTGCCAAGAATACAACTATTTCAGTTTGGAGTAATCGGTTTCTGTATTTAGTCCCCTGTCAATGAGTTGTTCACAATTTCGCGGTTCGTTGGGTTCCAGATTACATCGTAATTTAAGTTAAACTATATTATTTTGGTCGGTTGAGCTGGCACAATTACAAAAACATGTTTTGTGGGGATGATATTTGGTAAGAGGTATAAGAGTACTTATACACATTACTTTTCACAGTTTGTAACAAGCTAAGCTGATCATTTTGGTTTGTATTATTACCTTTACAGTGATAACTTTTGCTTTGAAAAGCTATAAATAAATGAAATTAAAAAAAGGATATGATTGAGCTTTTACCTGAACGGGTACTACAATGTACATGGTACGCTTAATGCATTCAATACTTATTGATTTTATGACTTTTTGGGTATCCATAAATATTTTGTTACATTTTGTCATACATTAAATCTTTGAGTTATATATACTTTTGTAGAAAAAGATGGAAGAAAAACTATATGTGATGTGGGCAAATTGCAGTTGAGCAATTAATTTAAAAATCTATATTTGCATAATGTAAAGAGAATAAACCTTTGATAGCAAAAGGTAGTGACTTCGTTATATATTTCATTTAGAGATAATGAATATAAACCTTGTTACCGAGGGAATCGGTAAAAGAATACACCTGCTGTTACCCACTGCATGTTTCTTATGAGGCGACTAATGTTGGAACCTCTGCAGAATTTGGGATTTGCTTTGGTGTCTTCTATTTGGGGACACAAAAGCGACCAAAATAAATCTGCTGTACCCATTGCAATATTTGGAATCTTTATCTTTCTTTGTACTTCTAACTACCTTTTATTTCCTAGCTCCTTGCTTGGAAACACCTCACTTTTGGCTTGAAATTTGAGCATTCGCCCAGGTGAGAAAGGCAATGGGTTCTGTTCCGAGGCCGGGACATACCAAAATCCTTAAAAATGGTAGTTGTTATTCTCTGCTTAACGTTCAGCATTAAGGGGAATGGCAAAAACTGGTTCATCCGTTGTTAGTATAATGTGACCGGGCGGAATGCTGTGCTGGGTGCCTTCAGCATGGTATTTCAGTGAGATAGCACCATAAAGTCGGCATCAGATCCGCTTTATCACAAGGAGGCAAGCACACTAACATAACCGGTCTCCTGCATACACACACGCAAGTACGCATACACTACACACATGGAGGCACGTCCTTAAATAAATGTTAATAAGACGTTAAACAAAATAGTAAACCAAACTAAAAAGCATTTAAACTATATATATATACACAAGGAAAATGAATATGCAAATGTAGCCTGTTGCCTGATTCCCATTACACTGATTGAATTTTTTTTTAATGAAATGAATGTATTATATTTTGAGGAAATCTGGATAGTTTAAACTTTTGTTAGAAATTGAATAACAAGATGAACTTTTCTCAACAAGACATGATAAATTATATTGTTTGTGTAATTGCAGCGGTTTCAAGAGCCACATACATACATCTCTGGAAGTAATAGAAAAACAGACAAATAAAGTCATGGGTTGCCTTTAGTCATTCAATGATACATTTATCATACTGAAGATTAATGCCTTTTATTTAAATTCATTAATCGAAAAATAAGCAAGTGAAAATATGAACAAAGTGTTTTAAAAGGACTGGTTTTGAAATGCATTACATACAGATGAACATCCGTTAGCAAATTGGACTACGAAATGTATTTACAAACAACTCAAAACAATAAATCAATGTATTTTAATCTTTTTAATAAGTTTCAACAACATAAGAAATATAATGATATTTCAAATATATCATCCCAGGATGTAACTCTATTATTTTAAATAACTCGCATTTTGAAGTGGTTTTGTTTTGCACTTATAAACGAAGGAAGTCGATCTCTTATTAAATATCTAGGTATTACATTTTGAAATATTGAAAATAAATTTATTCTACTTTAAAATGCAGACGAAGAAGCTATTGGATTAAAACATAATCGCTGCAATATACATTCGAGAAAGTAAATGTGAAATGTGCAAAATGAGTCCCTTCATAAGTAAGTTATTTTGCCGATAACCAGAATGATACTTTTCTATCATAATCGAAAATACCTACGACTAATCAGAAAATAAAATATGAATATGTTCAAAATTGAATCAATAAAATGAATGCGTTTTGCTAATAGATATAATACTGAAAAGTTCATTTATTGCTGTGGTTTGTGTACACCCTGAAATTATAAAACTGAGATTCGTATTAAAATTATAACGATTCTACATCGTGAAAAAGTCTCTAGACTCACTGTAATTAAAAATATGCACTTACACAAAATTTCCACGATAATCTGGAAGGTTTGTTTCCAAAGTGTATACAAATATTTCTCGATGCTTCATTTGTCAAGAAGAACGTTTTCCATATTATCGGAAAAGCGAGTTTGCCATATATCTTAAATATGTATGGTTTAACTAAAGTAAACCTCTGAACGATGGTAAGACATACAAACTTTTGAGTCTGCTCTACTGGCTATACATTGATCACCGGCTCCAATTTTCATTATGCGACAAGGAAATTGAAAAAAAATGACATAATCGATATTAAAGATTATTACAATTTTCCTTTTCCTGAAAATCACATTTATGTTGATTCTAGGCAATTATTGATGACGTCACTGTTTGTAGTGTTTGAGTGTCCTGGCTGAGGGATCTGAAGATGTTGACCACTTGGGCATCCAGTAGTACGGTATTAAATGACCTTGTCCTGTATAGGACTTCTCAAATACTCGTCTGTAGTATAGAGCCTCCTTACTGCGGGGAGGGTTGTGTGGATAACGATGACTACTCTCTTCCAGTTCTGTGTCGTTTATCTGTCAAAATTAAGAACAGATTATATTGAATTACAGATTATAAAGGATTGTTCCAACAAACACTGCAGTATACTGTAAACAAACATTTTTAGCGATATAATAATGTCAGTGGTTTTCTTGCTTTAAGCATTTCGCTAATTTATGATTGCCATAATTAAAGATTCTGTTTAATGTTTTCTATTGGATATACATGTATACTGTGAACACTCATATTTATCAATTGGCAAGCCTGCTAAAATTCGATAATTCGCTAGAATTTGGATCCACCAATATAAGGGTTTTTACAGAATGTATTTTTCTATTGTGTAATAGAATGGTTGTTTCAGTAAGATTTTTACATGTACATCCCAGCACTTGTTGTATTGTTTCACTTTTGATATATTACAAAGGCCGCAACCTCAGGAATATGACAAAAGGGACAAACAAGCGGAAGAAACAAATGAAATACAGAAAATAATGAAATACAGAAAATAAGTGATCTGAAACCACGGGGTCAACAAACAACACCAAGTATCATAAATGACTACATTAAGTACCACGGACACACCACAAACAGCTGTAAAGGACAATGAACCGAAGAAAAAAACGAAAACATATCACGAATCCTTTTTTTGAAATTTAAGCATTTGCCGTACAATTTGTGGCATCTGACAAGATGTCTTTAATATAGATATCATATCAAGACACTTTTCCCCATTCAAATAAATCATGAAGTTATAATTAATATATTTATTAAATGATATATATCAATGATAATCATGATATGTCTACACAATATTGATATTAATAATAACTCAGTAAAACGCTTACCTGTTCATCAACAAAGTCTTGTAGGACCTCGTACCATGACCTTGTCTGAGAGGACACGCCGTCGCTAAAGGCCTCTTTGGGCCGCCAAAGAATCTCTGCCGGAAGTAAACCTGTTTTTTCAAAGGCAGACCGCAGCAAATGCTTTTCTATTCCATTCTTGGGCGCCTTCATTGTAGGTTCTAAAGAGAGGTAGTAACTGCTGAATCGGTGATCAAGGAAGGGTACTCGTATCTCAAGTCTGAAACAAGAATTTTGGTGTTTCATTACAAGAAATGTTATATAATTATATTTTTCGTTCAAATTGTAATATTGACATTGCGTATTCACCTAGCATGCACTTCGGCTCAGAAATATATATCTGGAACTGATATTTACGTCGAGGAACGCATGTTACAGCGAAACAAATATATATTTATATATACAACAGTAAAACATTACATAATGGCAACATAAAGGATCGAAAGAAATTAATAATACATGTAAGTTATTACATTTCAACCTAATGATGGTTTATGTGAAACACGTAGAGATGTACCATATATATATTATCATTCAATTGATCTGTACAAAAAGATATGATGTCGTGTTTTACAACCAGTTTGTTTGCTGTTTTTATTTACATAGTTTTAAATACTTCCGACTTTTCATGTATTCTTTTTACAACCGTCTATTTTTCAGTTTTGTTTGGACACTGAAAAGTTAGCAACAATAAACAAACGCCGACATTTTGCTCCCAAATGTTTTTATAGAGAAACTTATTTCTGAAATTCAATTCGATCTACTTATCTCATCTTTATAGAAATATTATTGGGAACTTAATCCCTTACCCCCAAGCCGATGTCGTCCTGTCTCCTCTGAGTACATCATACATATACAGGTCTTTACAGAGCCGTCTGCTCTCCTCGTCCCCGTCCTCGGCAGAGGGCGCTTTATGAAAGTATATGTAGCCTTGTGCAATCTCGTCTGCTCCCTCTCCAGACAAAATGACTGTTGTATCCGTCTTCTGTTTAATGTATTTACTTACCAGGTACATCCCTGTATAGTATAAAGACAATATTTAAGACATACTTTCACTTTGTTATTCTAGCCTCCCCATATTTGGCTGACACGCTGCTAATCCAGTTTTTTAAATCTAGAACATGCTAGTTTTTCTCCAATCTTTCCTGCTGGTTCAGGGAAAGAAAAGACCTGCTGTATCTAACTGCATATCGTAAAAAGCGACTAATGTGCCATCCCCCACTGCGGAATCGGAGGGTTTCTTCAGTGTCCTCTGCTACAGGGACATATAAGGAACCAAAATTGATTTGCAGAATCACATGCATGGACCTTACCTGTTCATAGAACGTTGAACCCTATCAAACAAAACGTTTTCCAATAGCTGAATTAACGAGTTTTCACTGTAGTTAGATTCTCATATGTGGATTATACAGAGAAACACTCACCGACAGATGCCCTTACGGTTGTGATGTCATAACTCTCTAGGTGATAAATAACGTCTTTAATTGCGGCGATCCCTTCCTCAGGTGTGAAAACTATTTCGTGGTGTTCGGTTTCCAGGTGTTTGGCCACCTTGTACGAAAGAACATCATATTTAAAAAAACAAAAATAAAACGACATTAAAGTTTTGTGTTGGCTTAGTGTGTGTGATTACATTAAATAAATTTGTAATGATCTCTAAAAAGGGGTTATTTAATAACAACAGTTTCGCAATGTAAAACAAATATTCGTGAAACACATTAATTTACCGGACTAAGTATTTAAGATATATGTTCATATATTTTTAACTGTGCAAAGCTTATGCTGAGCGAAAATGCACTAAATATAAATCGCCTTATTTATGGAAGTTGTGATGAAAAAGCTGTTGTTTACGGTGTTACAGGAATTTTCCCCATTAATTTATTGTAGTATCAAATACATGGAATGTGTACCCCATTTATATAAGCATTATAAATATGACTTAGTTAATGCTCTCAAATATTAAATCATTTGGTAATCATTTGCTTGAGAAACATACATTATGCCAATACATACATACAAGTATGTTTTTGGAACATACACAAAGTACTTGTTAATACTTTTAAGAATCCTTACATAGTAGTTTTTTTTGTAAAGAAGCTCTTTATTTTTATTTTGTTATTGGTGTAAATATATTTATTGATGTTGACTTTTATTCGCATATAACTGTAAATCTTTATTTTCGCATTAATTTGAAATAGAAGTATACCGTGAAACCAAACAACTAAACAATTGACAGAGTATTTTGACTGTTAATTCTTCGAGATTTCCACACGAACAACATGTTGGCAGGCAATAGATATACGCAAACATAATGTTTTGAATTACGGTCAGTTACCTTCCTTGCTGCTAACAGATCGGGACTGCCCTCCATCCCTATAGAGAACGTCTGTACAGGGTATTTTATATCTCGTTCTTTAGCTAATTTTACTAACGTTGCTGCCACCAAACTCGAGTCTAGTCCACCTGTAACGTGAAAGTAAAAAATATATATATGAAACTGAGAGTTAAGAGCATCTTGAGGTTACACAATAGATTGTTTACTGGAGTTTATGTGAGGTAAACAATAGATGTAGAAATTGGGGTTTTGACATTTTTTTTGTTCATATTAAATAAGTTATTTATCTTTTCAATAGTTTTTATAATTAGTTATGAAGGCTTCTTCCTATATCAAATCCTTTATTTAGTTGTGACGTATAATTCTATTATTGTTTTACGTATAATTCATCCAACATTATTTATCCAAATTAATGTTTCGCTTCAGTATTTTTTTATATTAGTGAGTTTTGAAATCATGATTTTAGAATGGATACAAATATTCCTTAACACTAGAAAAATAACTACGTATATTACTACGAACGTGACCGATATGGCCCATGGGCCTCATGGTTGTTTATTTCATCTGTATTATTTTTCATTTTTCCCCGGAAGTTATGCTGCTCTTTTCAGCGACCTAAAGCAGGTGTAGCTTACTAACCGCCATTGCTGCTTGGATTAGAGGAGAATCGAATAAGGTGATTCAAATATCAGCCGATCTACCAGCTCGATACTTCAGGGGTTATGCTAACTTGCGCCGCCCTCTGCACCCATGGAATATGTTATAACAAAATTGAAGGCACGCGGATAGCTATTTGATTGGTCTCAGGTGGAAAAAAACAGACCGATCGCTGGACTGATACCTGTCCATTGAAGATTACAGAGGAGCGACACACATTAGACTTTCAAGCCAGTCAATTTTACCGTTGGGTAACCGCGAGATTTGTTTTCACATCAAAGGATCGAACTTGTCTTCAGGTTTCATCCACAAGGTGGCGCACACTGAGCATTCGTTTTTTCTATGGCATAGTCCAGGGGTGCAGAGAACGTAAGTAAGCAAATCCCATTGGAATATTCCGAGGATGTCGATCTACTAGGTTCAACATAGTGCTACTATTCGAGAAAAACAGTGTTAAAATACAAAGATAAATTGGAAGTGAATATGGTTACTTTCGTATATGTACTGTTTAAAACCTAGCAGTTATAATATTTTGAAGCTTTCTGCGCTTACTTTAAAGAAATACATTATGACAACCACTTAAAATAAAATCACCATACTAGCATAGGACCGTAGTTAGCTGACTCAGTATCTTTATGTTTTCATAACAACATGGCGTTGATACTGTTCATTTAATGAAAAACAACTCGTTAAACGATTTACAAACTAACCTGATAGTAGACATCCAATACGACGATCTGCCATCATCCTCTTCTTTACAGCGCCCTCAAACAGGGTCCTGATGCTGGACTTTACATCGTTATCTATTATAATAAAAAAATAGTCTAACACTTATTGTTACATCAAATTAAGTATGAATTACTATACAGCATTGATAATGGTACATGACATTTATAAAGAGTGATAAGAACCACGTTTAAATACCAGATATGACATGATGTTTTGTTCATTCATGCACGCTTGAAAAACAGTAGGATAATGATAGTGGTTTGACAGTGTAGTAATTGTTTACCTAATCCTAGCATTTTCTTTGTATTTAATGGGGGGTCATGTAGGTTTTAGCATTGTAATTTTAAGTGATTTTGATTAATTATCATATAAAAAATGCTAAAAAACAAATTGTAAATTGAATAACTAAGGAACAGTTTATTATGTTATAACTACTTTTAAAAAGCATCACAATTCGTCATTGTGAGCGAATACCTTCGGCCTTAGTGAGCAACATAACAGTTCTATGATTTCTGGTGAATCCTATACAAAGGATTGGCTACTGACGGGTTTACGATTTCTGATAAGTCCTACCTATAGGGTTGGCTACTGACGGGTTTATGATTTCTGATAAGTCCTACCTATAGGATTGGCTACTGACCGGTTTATGATTTCTGATATGTCCTACCTATAAGGTTGGCTACTGACGGGTTTATGATTTCTGATATGTCCTACTTATAGGGTTGACTACTGACGGGTTTATGATTTCTGATATGTCCTACCTATAAGGTTGACTACTGACGGGTTTATGATTTCTGATGAGTCCTACCGATAGGGTTGACTACTGACCGGTTTATGATTTCTGATATGTCCTACCTATAGGGTTGGCTACTGACGGGTTTATGATTTCTGATGAGTCCTACCTATAGGGTTTGCCACTGTTTTGTATGCCGGGGCGTCCCCTATTTTATGGAACTTCGTCCGTTCTACAAACGTGGCTCGTCCTATAGAGTCGAGATCGTACGTTTCCACGTGTCCGGGTAGGAATGATTCTAGAGAGGCAGTGGATTTATCTCCCATCATTGACATCAATCCTAAAACAACAATGATTTTAATAGAATTTACAAACATTAACCTTAATAATGCATAATTCACATTTACTTTTCATTATTATCATTATCAACATCACGTTTTTAATAGACAGAGTAGTCGTTCTTATACTTATATAATGAAGTGTAGTCTAGATAAATTGATTTCTGTGAGTACTACAGCCCACAGTCAATAATAGTCAAGCAAAACAGACGTGTGATAGGCCGACCTTTTCAACTCTAATAAAGACTACTGAAAATGCATATCAAACTGGAGATTAACGAGTTAACGACTGCACACTCGGGCTCATCAAATAGACACAATCAATGAACTATACTCAGCTGAATGCGTTTAAAATACACACCATAGCATCAATACACAAAGACAAGAGCTTCGCTCATCTGGAAAAAGAAATCGGCATAAACCAGGGTAACACCAAAACAAAAATAAATTAACCGTCTAAAATTGACTTTGGCGATTCCGATAAAACCTTGATATTTTGCCACTTGATCCAACGTAAGTTTGACGCTTATCAAAGTAGTTTGTATTCCTTTACCTTTTGCCTCGGAGCATACGGCGAGAAAGCCACTTTCGGTAGTCAGTCGGAAAGAGGGCCTGACCCCGAATGTATCCCTGCCCAGGTAAACCTTCCTGTTGGCCGTGTCTAGGAGACAGAAGGCGAACACTCCGTCCAAATGTTTAGCAGCGTACTCTATCCCGCCCTGGGCGTAAAGGTGGATGATGGACTCTCCGTCACATTTAGTGGCGTAGTGGAAATCAAATTCCTCCTGTAGCTGTTTTCGAATATAAGTGTTACATATTAATTAAAGCGCTTTGTGTTACCGCCACAAACAATGGTAAACATGCAAATAGAGACCACAAAATGAAACAACAGTAACAAAATATTAACAAAAAACTGGAAATTGTAACAACTGATTATTTGAACAACGGTCAAAAGCAGACCACAAATTCTCACGAATTGTGACAATTTGTAGGGAAAAGTTTCATATCCCAAGAGATAAGCAACATGATGTGCCATAAACTTTAACCAATTAATGATTTTCTTGGTAACAATAAATTACTTCTGTTTGTTAATATTGAGTTTTCTCCAAAAGCAACAAAACTAGCCTTAAGCAGTTCCACATGAAAAAGAGCATAAGTTCGCTTCAGATACATTAACAGATATACCAGCTGTTACGAAAAAATATAACCGTCGCTGAATATAAATGTTGTTTTTCAGCACTTGAGTATCCAGTCCACGGTGGCCAATTGGTTAAGGCGTGTGACATTCTACTACCAGTGGCCCTCCACATCTTGGTCGCGGGTTCGAGACTGCTACGTCGGGTAGACGCCAGGTACTGGCCGTAGGTCGGTATTTTTTCCTCCGGGAACTCCAGCTTTCCTCCACCACCAAATCCTTGCACGTCCTTAAATTACCATAGCTGTTTAATAGGGTGTAAAACACAAACACACCAAAAGGATCCAGTCAACGTTACAGAACAAAAGTAAAACTTACCAATTTGTGGTTGTAGATTTCTCCGTTGTAGATAAGCCATATATGGGGATATTTGAACACACGCATGGGCTGCATTCCTTGTAAATCATCTACAATGGCGAGTCGATGGAATCCGAGACAACACGATGGAAAATGGTTGATACTTTCTATTCGGAAGGCATCTGGACCTCTGTGGCCAATTTTGTGTGCAGCATTGCATTGATCTGCAATGTCGTCATCACTTCCGAATACTGCCCATATACCACACATATTGATGACGTTGATATCTGAAAGTAAATGTAGTAAGCGACTGAAGTTGTGTATTCGTTGTTCAACTTGACACTTTTTCCAACTTGTTTCATTTCAGTCTGGTAACAGTTGAGTTTAAGGTCAAAAGTATCTATTTGTGAAAGCTGAATTCGTCAAGGGATTTTCTAAGATGCAAACAAAAAACACTGTTTTTATGATATTTTGTTATTATATCATATAAGTTCTTGTAGTGTCGAAAATGGATGCAGTTTGGAGGGCTCCCATCCCAATGGACGTTCGTTGTAGTGTCATTGACATTTACATAGAGCCTTGTATCGCAAAGATCTTGATTTCACACATCACCGCAATATTCTCCAGGTTTTTGATGGCAAGCCAGCTTATCATCAAACATATACCAAAAGAGGGGTTACAAGAATATTAAAGATATCTTTAAATTAAATAGAGGAGTTTTAAGTATAAAAGAGGCATATTTCTATGAATAAAACGAATTAAATATATAGTTAAAACACAGTATCTGTTATATATAGCCGCAAGTAGTTTAATTCGCGATTTTGCGAGACTGACGGTGTTTCCAGCTACTGCATCACAGCATCGACCCAATGATAACGTGTCATTAATGGGTTCTCACTGTTAATATATGGCTTAAATAATGCCACAGGGATACCGTGCGTCATAGTTGTTCGTCAAATACATTTTCATTATATACTATATAGCTACTTTTTGATAGAGTGTTACTTTAGTACTCCGTTTCTGTATCTGTATTTGTACTGGAAATTAACTCACTAGTGAGCAAAGTCTATCCGGGGTGAGTGAGTGCGCTATATCAATCTTAGTCACTTTTGGTCGCAATAGTGGCCTTAAACTGTTCAGTAGTTTTACAGTTGATTATGCGCGATGGTAGTGCATTCCAGTCTTTTATGGTAGCTGGTACAAATGATTTGTTATACATGTCGGTGTTACAACTAAGCACGTTGATGGATTTACTGTGCTGTGTTCCAGATGGTCTGGTATTAAACTGGAATAGCGAGTCAACGGGTATGGCCACGAGGCCGTGCACTATTTTGTAAAGTAACACTAAACGCTGGTCTCGTCTGCGTTCGGATAGCGGTTGCCATTTAAGTTCCTCCGTCATGTTGGATACGCTACGTATACTGTAATCATTGCACTCAAAGCGAGCGGCACGTCGCTTTATCCCTTCTAGTCGGTCTATGTCCTTTTTCTGTTACGAATTCCCGAAGTCGTCGTACGCATGGATATTCAGAGAAAGTATTTTTCTCCTACCCACACAACTCGCACAACTCCAACAACCCAGGTGGAGTATACCGTAAATTGGTCTGGGTGGATGTTGCGGTTTCTGTGTTGTAGCATTCAATTAGTTGAATTAATTGTATATATGTACTGTAAAGTGCTATAGAGTGGCTTATGCTAGCTGGATAGGACGCTATATCAAATGTTGTATATTATTATTGCTAATTATCATCTTAATGGGGATATTGAAAGCTACCGTTACGCTTTCATTTCTTAATGAAAATGTCAAGGGTGACATTCATGACCTAGATCGACCTACGGTTATGTATGATACACTATCGTATAACTTCTCATAATCCATACCTACCAACCTGAAGAACATGTTTAGAAACTATATCGTATAACACGGATCAGTAACCGACACGCGTTAGTGATTATCCCTGCTTCTCTGCTCTACAGCGGAAACTGGTCCGGCTCTCGTGAATGTGATTCTCTGATCATGAAATATTCTAAAATTCAATAGATTCTATTTATGTTAAACCCCAGGTATAATCACGTATATCTTACTTTTTTGTTTACAATCATGATTGAATCACTGTTCGGGATATTAACATTCGTACAAATAAGCACAGAATGGCCCATTCATGTACATTGTACAGTATCACATACGTTCTAGCCGCCATTACGTCTAACTCATTGATGTCTCATGTGGATCTCAAGTTTGTTGACTCTTGTGGGACTCGTTGTTCAACAATGTCTGGTCTTACATAACGTACTTTAGTTACTTTACAAAGTGACCATGTCTGGAGTGATCAAACAGAACTGTCTGTGGATCATGCAGTGTGAAATTTGATCTCTGCCCCCGGCTACATGTATCGGCTGCCAGCTTATATCGGCATCTTCCCCGTCAAACTTAATATGGGAACAATAAGATTGGGCTATTTTCTCTTGTTGCTAATTAAATGGAAATCGACCGGGATATTATTAATGATTGCATATCTATATCTACACCTGCTACGAATTCCTATTCGTATATGTATGTGTGCACATTGAAAAGGTGCGTCTCAAGTAACGTATAGTTACAACTTCTGATCATTGATATGGTTTCGAAATGAAATCAGACAGATCGATAAATAGATAAAATGGGTTTATACTGTAAGGGTAGTTCTTATACGTGTAGAAAGGAAATTATTCGATGTTTAAAAAACTCGGTATATATATATATAAATAGCTTTACGTACGTACATCTATACACATCCGCTAGAAATATGTTAATGAATCTACAGGAACACGGCATTAATTTTCTGTCACTCTAACTCCGACTTAGATTATTTATTTCCGTTATTTTCACACTGACACAGAGATCTATATGAGCACACATAACGCTCACAGCTTGGGGATCATTGGGGAAAGTAAAATCTGCATTGGCTTTGTGTTGGTATTGTATTATATATGAAGTTCATCGAACCAGCGAACCCAATTAATTAAAGTCAACGTGCTTTAAGGTCAGTATACGCCTATACGGGGCTACCTGTCGCTGCATTTATACATTATTTATATATAAATAAATCTGGTTAGTTTATTTCCAGTATTTAATACCGTGTCCAACTTTCTATTACTATACACGTACAGAACAATAGATGTATTTTAACATTGTTAAAACTGCATAAGTGCAAACGGTACAGTTATTGGAAACATGTATGTTTCATGATATATTGTGCATGTAGCTACACAAATGTTCGTACAAAATTACACATCAATAAAAAGGCAGGACATGTATGTATTACGAATTTATATATCTGATCAGTAAATTAGAGATTTTCAATACTGCGAGACCCTTATGTATTTAATGTATATGTATAATGAAGACTGACTTACCTTAATTTACTCTTCGGAAAATGCGAGCTCTGTACACGTTTCTGAAACGAAGTTGTTTCTTTCCCCTCTCGATCAGCTGGTCACCGTCAAACTGATGATGAAATTTTAGCCGGGCTTTTATACCCCCTGTTTGCGTACTAGTACATGTGTACGTAGCCGGTGATGCAACCGCAGGTCGTATGGAGATCGAGGATATGAAAAGCTGATGCAATACATAACGGAAAAAACGCATTGTCAGCTTGATGTGAAGGAACATGTTTAATACAAACTATCATACCTTTATCTCGTAAATATATTGATTAATTTCATTTTTAGACATGCTTACTTACAATGGTTTTAAATTTGGAACACATATTATGTAGCTTCCGAGGGGAGAAGGAAAATAACCGTTTGTTAAAATTATCAACTTTTTACCAAGCCGACTATGCTTTCTGTTTTTGGTATAACTATATACAAAACACCAACACCAGTATATACTAGTCTTCGTGTTTTGTTTTATTTATATTTTTACCGTTACATGGACATTAAACACTATTTATTGCTATATGTATATATATATATATGGGGCAAAGAAGTAATTCCAACAGTTTGTGTGTATATATATATAGTACACTTAGTGTTTTGTGAGCCATTCATAAGAAGACGGTGGGGATTTTATACACACGCCCTGGACACGTGAAAAGGGAATGGGTCGTTATTTGAATTAGCATAAACATGTGTATCGGACACAAATGTGTGTTAAGCGGTGATTCATTGCTCCGCTTCACTGAGCTTTGTGGAAAATCGTCATATTGTTAACATATAGAGAAGGGCTTAAAGAGTCCTTTATTTTTCATACGTACTACTTACTCGCTACTCACAGAGTTAGCAGGAAATATTAGCAAAATTCAGCAAAGGTAACCCAGACGGAAATGAGCCTTTTTGTTTTTTGTTTCATATATGTTATATTTAGAATCTGGGAGGCAAACAGATCATTACTCTCAGAAAAGTATGTGTATGTTATAAATAGCACTCCGTGTATGACTATGTAAGCTACCTTGTACCCGCATACCCTACGCAATCGTATCACGAGGAGGCGAGAATTTGTTACGGCTAAATTTGGACCTAAACTAAGGTGTTCAGAGTAATTTTACACGTTAAAGGGGTTTAGATCAACCTTCGGTACTACATATGCATTTTGCAGTTTTGAATAATTTCAGATGGTTACACCCATATTGCATGGTACTTCGTCTTTTAAACAACCGTGAATAATATGGTCCTTTAAACATGAAACAAAACTGCAGTGGTCGAGCGTGGGGCGCTAGTATTTCTGTGGTTTAGAATTCTAGTTAATAGTGTTAAGCATTAAACTGCTTTCAGATGACACCCAACGCCAATATGAACGTCAGCTGGAAATACTGAATCGCCGCTAGTTCCCGGACAGAAGTTTTGCATAGGTTATGAATGAACATGTACTTACATATGTACTTATGGAAATAAATCCATTTCCCTCATTATGCAGCAGTCGTATGATATATAAGAAATACTAGTTTTCTAACACGTCGTATATGTATACATAAACATTTATTGGAAAAAGCATACACTATTTCGTTTTAAGTTTCAAAGTATCGTTTGCTATCTTTCTTTGCCGAAAGAGAAAAAAGTTCTTAATAGAATAAATACAGTACTGTAATTGCTGCTTCATGAATAATAAGGTCAAAATCATGCCTCCAGTGATGGTCGAGGATTTATAATAAATGGCCTATACTATTTTTAACTTACTAGCTGTTCGTCTTCACTAAACGGTGAAATGAAGTAGATTCTATAGCATATACGACAAAGTTCAGTGCAGCAGTTCTTTCGCGATATTTCCTAAACAAACAGGTGACCATAAAGTCAATCATGATATTTGCTTAATGGTATATACTAGTATTATCTGTCATCATTGGGTGACAATTTGTAGGTCACCTGACACAAAGTCTCAAGTGACCTATTGCGATCGCCTTTTGTTCGGTGTCGTTCGTCCATAAACAGTTTACATTTTCGACTTCTTCTCCAAAACCCTGAACCAATTTCAATGAAATTTTGTAGAAACCTTCCATGGCCAAATGTCAACCAATATTGTGAATTATATGGTCCCAGGAGCTTGAGGGGCGGCGCCAAAAAGGGTCAAAATGACTAAAATTTCAAAAATCTTCTTCTCAAGATCCAGATATGGTAGAATCAAATACTCTTCATTGATGGAAAGGTCTTAAGGTGCTTTACCAAAATGGTGAATTTCATGACCCTGGGGTCTCACGTTTCCCCCTGGTGAGGGGGTAAACTTTACTATAGTTTATATAGGGAAACCTCATTTTGGACCAGCATTTGTTTAATTTCAATTGGAATTAATTCAAACTTGGTTAGCAAAATCAGTATTTGATAGCAGTTTGATGATATGCACAAATCAGCCCTGACTGACCCCCGGGGGCTGATGGGTGGGGACAAAAAGGGTTGAATTGACTGAAATATCAAAAATATTCTTCTCAAAACCCAGATATGGTAGAATCAAATACTCTTCATACAAATGCAGATGGAAGGGTCTTAAGGTGCTTTACCAAAATTCAGCTGACTGACAGAACCACTATTTGTACATAGTACATTACTACCCAGATCTTTCACACTACTTTTGCATTACATAAATTTCAAGTTACCTTTGTTACAAAATGATTTCTTTTTCATTTGGCAACATCGATATCAGTTTTTACATAACTCAGGTGACCGTTAAGACCCATGGGCCTCTTGTTAATATCTTGATTTAAACCCGCATGATAATCCCTTAATATCATTATAGGTCCCAATAAACACGGGGTCGCGGTGGCCGAGTTGTTAAGGTGTCTGGTATCTATGTTCCCTAACCCTGAATAAAATAATCTAGGTCTTAGTGATGGTTGGTTAAATCCATGTATTTCTCAGCAAAATTTGTTATAACCATTGATAAAAACAAAGAATATTTTAACAAGGCACACAATCCCTAATGGCCTCAGTGGAAACCTCTCCAAAATGTTTATTGCATAATTATATTTTTACCTCACAAGAATATATACCAAAGAAATGTCGCATTTGTTTAACTTGAATCCGTACATCTACACATTCTTTGGCTGTAGAAGTTGGAAGGTATAGAGGATATTAAATGGTGTGTTCAGTAATACCAAATATATTTCACGATATTGGCTAATATTTTGATATTTTTCACGAGTGCGCAGCTACACTCGTGAAATATATTTGGTATTACTGAAGACACCATAAAATTTTCTATTTATTACATTTCTAAAGCATAAAACAAGAAAAATTCCGACGTTTTCTGCTATTTTCTAGTATGATATTAATAATTGTATATTTATGTAAATACTCAAGTGTGTGCACCAAACATTTACCATAGCAACCACTCATTCTACCGTCGCTTCATTTGAATCTGAACAAAAAAATCGTTGCCTTTGAATGCAGCGAATAGAAGATACCGTTATGATTGGTCAATACCGAAAAGTGATATTTTCACACTGTGAAAATATCACTTTTGATATTTGTCATAGTGTGAAAGATATCAGTGTTATAAAATTGATAGATACAGAATCATGCATGGCATTTTCCATATCACACCAAGTATCAACCCGGAACTCCAATATAAGCCCGAGGGTTGATATTGAGTTTTGAGATAGGGCTGAAACGGGTTTAGGGGTGTGATACGGCGAGGGCTGATATGGGTAAAAGCGATTGTGTCGTATCGCATATACAAAAACACCTTATATTTTAGTCAGTATGTAACAGAATCGGTTATTTCACTTTTTCACTTCGTCTTTTTATAACCTCAGGAATGAAAGGCAGCTGGAGCTACAAAGAGTAAGAACAATCGGGTATGGACTGAAGTCTTTTCGCTACGAGGCCGCCCGGGTGTGGAACAGTCTGCCAAACCATTTGAGGAAGGTGGATAGTTATCCAGAGTTTGCCAGACTGCTGCACTCCTGGGATGGCCCCGTTTGCTCATGTCTTATCTGTACCTGTGTCTAGAGTTTAAATGTTTTTTCAGTGCTTTAGTCTTTATTACTAGTTACCTGCTTTATTTATCTATTATTTACTTACCTACCTGTTTAGCTTAACTTTTGCTTTGCATGGCGCTTTTATATACCAATAACTGGCAACATAAGTTCTAACCCTCTCTTTTAATCATCATTATAGCTCAATATCTTTTACTTACAAGACCTTGTCGTTCTAATTTAATTTACACTATATTAGTGTATATTACATGTATGTCAATTTTTACTCTTTTGCTATATTAGCATGTATGTACATTACACTTGAAGTGTTTTAACCCTCCTTTCATAGCAACACCTGTGTGATATGCAGGTGTTTCCCTATTACCACTTTACATCATTTTTAGTATAGTACTTTAAATTTAGTGCCTGTGATATCTATTTATATGCTGCTATGTTATTGTATGTTTTACTCGCTGATTATGTGCTAGCTTTCTGTGATAGTGTATAGCTTGATTTGTTGTTTTCTGTTTGCTTTTTATCATGTTTGTCGCAAAAATAGCGCTACAGCGCTAATGTTTCTATGTTTGATATATGCGACGTTAAATAAAGTTTCTTGTATCTTGTATTGTAAACAGTGTAACTCCCCATCTGAAGTAGAGGACGAATTTCATTTTTTATTGGTCCGTTCTGAATTCGAAAATTTCAGATCCCGTTTTATCAAAAGCAATTATTGGGAAAAAGCATCTATGTTTAAAGTCGTCCAGTTATTGAGTGTCCGTAATATTAAAAAAAAATGTGTCTACTAGAAAAATTCATCTATGATGCAAACAAATTAAGGGTATTATAATGGAATATGGTTGTCTTCATTCTCTGTACATTGTCCATGTTATGTTTATAATATGTATTGTATACTGATGGGCCAATGGCCTAAAGTTCGAATGAAACTTTGAAAGTTTGAAACCCTCCGCCATTGGGTTATGGGTTGAATACCTATGTAGGGCAGTCGCCAGGCACTGACCACAGGTCGATGGTTTTTCTCCTTCAACAAAGCCTGGCACTTCCTGAAAATGAACAGAACTGTTAGTAGGCCGCCAAACACAACCAAACAAATAAAAGAATGGATGGTAAGTATGCTTCGGGATTTATATATATGGTCTTTAGAAGTCAATCGAAGATTTCGACACATCGTCTGTGATCTTTAGAACAACCTAAGCAAGAAAATAAAAATCCGTATCTGATGTTTCTTGTGGTTGAAGTAGTAGTATTTTTTGTTTTAATTAAACATTTCGCATTTCCCTTGATGGTTTGATTACAGATGTTAAAAATGCGACCGTAAAACGAGGGTAACTTCAATAATTTAACAAAATTTATAGCGTAAAAAATATGTGCAAGCTTTACTATATGTCAAATATGTTTCTAGGGCAAATATTTATTTAGAAGAGAGAGTGTTTACTATGACTATATTTGCCAAATGATATTAAACGTTTAGCCGAGCTAACATTTAGTCTTCTTTAGGGTCACTTGATTAGAAAGATTAGACTGCACACATCGAACGCACCGCTTCGTTTTACATCGGTAATCGAACGCACCACTGAGGAAACATCACATGACTGTGTATGTGACCAGTAATCACAAACTCAGTGCTCAGCCTCATAGGTTACACGCTTAAAATTCCCCACGGCGATGGGTGGAGGATGGCTCGTAGGCGGGTGGATCTTAATGGTGGTCATGGTCAAACAGTGTCAGAGTGATTACACGTCAAATCTGAAACTTGTTAATCTGGTAAGAAACTGTCAAAATGTTATCATTTAAGTTAGTCATATACTGTAGGGTAATAGGTTTCCGCGCGTTATATATTTCAGCGCAGCCATTATATAAAGCTATCTCTCGTTACTAAGTCCCCTACTGGACCCTACACAATGATGTTTTAGACGTTTGACCATCGTCTGTAAACTGACCCATAATTACCTGAGGTTTGTCCTGAAAACATAAGAATGTATCACTGATTGAGGGAAAAGTCACATGACTGTCTATGTGATCGGTAATCACAAACTCATCAGTGCTCAGCCTCATAGGTTATACACTTAAATATTTCTCTATGGCAATGCACGGAGGATGGCTCGTAGGCGGGTGGATCTTAATGGTGGTCATTGTCAAACAGTGTCGGAGTGATTACACGTCAAATCTAAAACTTGTGAATCTGGTAAGGAACTGTCAAAATGTTTTGAAATTTCCATGGGGAAGATTCTGCATGCTCAAAGTTAAAACATAAATAAAATGTGTGTATACACCCTCTAGAGACAAAATAACTCTTTAAAATGACATATTTTGAGTTGTTCTTTCTGGTGAACTCATTAGATCTTAGAATATAGGAACAGTTCAGCAAGTTCACTTGTTGAAAATACTTGGTTTAAGGGTCCAAAATCGGAGTCTCCCTCCTAAAAAGGGAGGGATGGCAAGTATGAGTTTTGGACATGTTACAATTTAAGGTCTGAAAATTATGGTAAGGTTATACACTAACAATAGGAGTTGAATCGCTTGACTGCATGCATAAAACTGCCATGCCGGCTACAACACAGAGAACTGTAGCTCAAATTCAAATTCTTTATTTCATCTTGAGCATATACATCTCATCAATTCAAAGGAAAATTTCATAATGTACATTCCAAATCAGCACAGGCTGTAAGATATTTAGGCTTATGTTAGCTAGATAGGGCGCTATATCAAATGTTGTTTATTTATTTTAATTTTATTTAAGATACAATCAGCATATGGAATTTATAATTTAAATACAGGTGTTTTTTATGAACTAAGAGCTTGCAAATCAAACTAGTTAGAAGCCAACAGAGTAGAACGTAGTAAACATGCATGATATATGAACTGTAACCCAGGTAAGTTAATTCTTTGATATTACCGGTTGATAATAATTTAATTATTTATAGACAGATCGAGGGATTAGCACGATAATATAATTTAATATATATACTTCGTAGTTCGCTGAGGGAGGGGCATTTTAGAATGAAGTGGAATTTGTCTTCTATATGATTTTTACAGAAAGGACAAAGTCTTAATTAGTTATGAGGATTTTTTTTATGCCTTCCAGTTTCTGTTAAAAGATTGTGTGAAGACAGTCGTATTTTGACAATTGCTTTTTTGTACTTTACAGGAATAGGTTTACTTAGTAAGGTTGAAGGCAGGCATGATCAGTAATATGTGTTGATACACCCTTGACTAAGACGAGTTAGAGAAAAAAAGTCTCACAGTCTTGTTTTAAAATATCTAACAATCTCTGTTTTGCTAAAACCAAAACATTATGTGTATTGAAGCTACCCTGTGTTTGCCAGTACTCCGACATACCAGTAGAACAGATTTCTTGTTTAACAGAAGCCACCCAAATTTTACAATGTGGGTTCGATTCACACTAGATGCTTCCTGTCAATTCAGCTATAAGGATAATTTCTCTTTAGCTCAATTGATAGAATGTCTGACAGTCTTAGATTCTATCCTCAGCTGATTGAGAGGCATTGAAATTTATAATTGCTTTTTCAACACGAGATTCTTATTATCTCAAGATCAGCGGTTTGAGCCCTATAATGGACACTAAATATCAGGATAACCGTGATTTTTGCTTTTTATTGCCTCTGCTACTGATCAAACTTGGAAGTTTAGCTTGATAGTCGGAGCTCTTAAGATTGAGCTAGGAATTCAAAGAGGCCAGTAATTTATCAGGGTACCTGAGTAAAGGTTTGTTTTTACCCAAATTGGTATGAAACATCCCTGAGCCAAGGGAATTCATCATACTGTGTATATATATGGGAAATTTTGACCACAGTTTGATTTGTTTCCTTTTTTTCCGCCTTACACAATATGGGCAAATTAATCATTACTGTGAACATTATTAACAATATGTAAACATAGGACGCTTTCGTTTATCGCGATCCAAACTGTTGTACTAGTTGGACCAGAGTTGTTCGTGTATGAAATAAGGTCGGACCTGCTAGTAATTTGATGCTGCTTTCAGGTGAGCCTTGATATAAGCCTTTGTAGCTAGGTCTGCATAAACATGTACAGGTCCGCCAGGAGTTATCTATATACCTGAAAATGTTACATTCAAAAACAGACAAACTGGTTGTTCAGCATCAACGAACAGGCCCATAGCATGGAATTAGATTCGATTGCTATCTAAGTCCGTGCCAATAGCAATCAAATGTGAAAGGTGAAATTAACATTGGGCAAATATGGGTTTTACCACATAGCCTCATAGGGCAAACGTATGACTTAGGGGAAAGTTTCCCTGTGTAGAGCTCGGTATAATTTGATAATCTATGACAGTAAGGTTGAAACGTTCATCTATAAAAGACTATTGCTAGAACCTCTTGGAAAACTGAATTCAGTGTTGTTATTAAATGACAGTTGTAAATCTTTTTTCAGGGGTGGCCCGGGCTTGAAAACAAAGAAATAAGACCTTAGATCAAATCGATAACACTATCAAATAAACAAATTCAAGTAAGACTTTGTGCAAATGTCTATCTCTTAACTCTTGTCATTTGTCAGAATAAGTTGGTAAGAAATACAGGCTTCTTCGACCTTTTCTTGTAATACATCAAACATTTCTATTTCACTCTTTTAATTATCAATTTGCATTGCATGGTTTCAGAATAATTAGTATAGTTATTCCAATAACGACGTCCTCAGACTGTTTACTGATGAAATTGCTGTTCATTAACATAGTACTATTTTTATGTTTTTATCAGGTGTATCGACATGGCGACCGGTCCCCGATTGATGTGTACAAAGGAGACCCGAATGGTAAAGACAATTGGCCTGATGGAATGGGATGGCTCTCCAAGGTCAGTAAACGAGGTCAAGGTTATCCGTGAATAGCTGAAATTGGACGAAAGTTTAGTATTATTCTAATAGCTGTCTATTGTAATACATTTTAGTCCACAATTGTAAGGCATTTTTTGGACATATTTGGAAGGTATTTGAGGTTGTCACTTCATCAATATACAATCACTGTCATACTGCTGCTTGTGACTTGCTGTTTATCCAAAATTGCTTTTTTCATCTTTCTGTATTAAGAAGAGAAAATCACATTAAATTGGTGGACATAATGACTGTGTCTCTAGAGTGTTTCAATGACTGTGTCTCTAGAGTGTTTCAATGCGTGTTTCTCTAGAGTGTTTCAATGTCTGTGTCTCTAGAGTGTTTCAATGTCTGTGTCTCTAGAGTGTTTCAATGACTGTGTCTCTAGAGGGTTTCAATGACTGTGTCTCTAGAGGGTTTCAATGCGTGTTTCTCTAGAGTGTTTCAATGTCTGTGTCTCTAGAGCGGTTCAATGACCGTGTCTCTAGAGTGTTTCAATGACTGTGTCTCTAGAGAGTTTCAATGACTGTGTCTCTAGAGTGTTTCAATGAGTGTGTCTGTAGAGTGTTTCAATGACTGTGTCTCTAGAGTGTTTCAATGACTGTGACCTTATTATACCTACATGTATTGTAATTATACTGTGAAAATTGTAGAGGTGTAACGATTCACTGATGAATTGATAAAAAAATAAAATAAATATACAGCATTTGATATACATGTAGCACCCTATCGAGCTAACATAAGCCACTCTTATTAGCGCTATACAGTACTGTACATAGATATATAATTAATACAATTAACATTAATCAATACAATTTTGAGGAATTCACAGGAGCTGCCATATCAGGTGCTAACTACTAGTCCTATGCCACCTGGCTAATATCTCCCTATGTCTGTATGCCTGCATGTGTGCTGGAGATGTTATGTGTTCTGTTTGTAGTGGGACCGTGCTTCCAATGGCATCATTTATAATGCCACCTCACTTGAATGCTACATCACAGATACCACAACATCCACCCTAGACCAATTTATACTCCACCTGGGTTGTTGGAGTTATGTGGGCAGGAGAAAAACACTTTCTCTGAATATCCATGTGTACAACGACTTCGGGAATTGAACCCCTGCCGCCTGTGTTAACCACTTGACCAATCCGCCCATTGAATATGAATCATATCATATCTTGATATATGAGTGTCGATGCATCGTGTCATTCGTCAATAGTATTGCGATACTTATTAAGAAAAGTTATATACTACCAGTCACCGCTCTTTTAGATTAGTCAGGTCGTTTCGTCCTAATTTCTGTTCGTCCTGGGGCATTTTCCCCCTAAAAATATTTTTATAGTCAAATGTTATAGTCCTGTTTAGTTGTGTATGGCAAAGACAGTCTAATCTCAAGCTTTTCTAGGTCTCCTTTAGACATTTTTGTCATTATAGACTTGTTAGATTTGCAGGGGTCTGTACAATATAGCTACATACACACCTCGTGAAATTCTTCCGACAACACAATTGTTTGTATTCATTAAATAAAGAGCTTTTTTAATCATTTCAATCATTTCGACGGATATTTCTCACTTTAAATATATATATATATTTATATTAGGGCAAAACAACCTTGGGCAATCTGGATACACACCTCTAGAAAATTGTCATAAAGTCACTACCGAGATGGAACATTTTCCTCAGTAATACATGTACATGTATACCTAGATAGGGACAGATCCGTGAATTTGTGTTGGAAGCTAGAGGCATTAAAGTAACCCAGTTCTTTTGTATAAATGCAGCTTTTGAAGTGGCTGCGGGAACCATAGCTCACTTATACATACAGGTCTAATCCAGTTTTTTTTCAAAGCTTTTTGTTATAAGATTTAGAAAAAAAATGATCAGACCTTGGAGCTGCTGTTCATGTGTCTACCTTTGAAGGTGACATCATTAGTCGTCTGATTATATATTACTATACATAAAAGGTATTTGACTAAGATTTTCTTTACAGATTGGGATGAACCAGCACTATAGACTTGGTCAGTGGTTAAGGGACAGATACAATGGCTTCCTGAGCAGTGATTACATTCATACAGAGGTATGCCAGGATGTCTTCAATGAAGAGAAACATTGATTGTTAACTCTACATGCTACAATGTAGCTTACCTATTATTAATAAATGGTATTTATTAAGGATTCTATCATACACATTTATACCAGGTCCTGTGATTTGTGTAAGGCTTATCTCCCTTGATAATATATTGTAATACCAATTATTTCTTTTAAAAGTTGCCTCCCTTGATGGCATACATATATGTACTGTTCACATTTTTCTTGTGTTTTGTCTTAGACTTATTTTCCTTGAATTGATATTGTTTTCAACCATACACAAGTGTTATGAATATCTGCATTCTTGTGTAGCTTACAAATATTGGAGATACATTTCAATTTTCTTTGGTCTCTTTACTCGTTGCTTTTAAATTAATTAGTATAAAACTTGCCTATGAAATATACTTAAAATTTTCTGATAAACTGCTAAGTCTAAAATTAGAACTGATAAACTTGATGAAGGCAATTATTTGAGACAATGAAATGTTTGATTGGTATCAGAATGACAAAAATACAATTTAAACTGCATCAGTGTCTAGACTATTATTTAGTATAGGTTATTTTAATACATGTATAATGCTTTAATATTAATAGTATGGAATTATTTAAATATGGACTATGAGTATATATATATGTGCTGTTGTTTGAGTACAGGGTATTTGAGTATGTGTTGTTGTTTAAGTACAGGGTATTATTTGAATATATGTACTGTTGTTTGAGTATTATTTGAGTATGTGCTGTTTGAGTACAGGGTGTTATTTGAGTATGTGTTGTTGTTTAAGTACAGGATATTATTTGAGTTTGTGCTGTTGTTTGAGTACATGGTGTTACGTGAGTATGTGCTGTTGTTTGAGTACAGGGTATTATTTGAGTATGTGTTGTGTGAGTACAGGGTATATTTGAGTATGTGCTGTTGTTTGAGTATTATTTGAGTATGTGTTGTGTGAGTACAGGATATATTTGAGTATGTGCTGTTGTTTGAGTACAGCGTATTATTTGAGTATGTGCTGTTGTTTGAGTACAGGGTATTATTTGAGTCTGTGCTGTTGTTTGAGTACAGGGTATTATTTGAGTTTGTGCTGTTTGAGTACAGGGTATTTTTGAGTTGGTATGTGCTGTTGTTTGAGTACAGCGTATTATTTGAGTATGTGCTGTTGTTTGAGTACAGCGTAGTATTTGAGTATGTGCTGTTGTTTGATTACAGGGTATTATTTGAGTCTGTGCTGTTTTTTGAGTACAGGGTATTATTTGAGTTTCTGCTGTTGTTTAAGTACAGGGTATTATTTAAGTATGTGCTGTTGTTTGAGTACAGGGTATTGTTTGAGTATGTGCTATTGTTTGAGTACATGGTATTATTTGAATATGTGCTGTTGTTTGAGTATTATTTGAGTATGTGTTGTGTGAGTACAGGGTATATTTGAGTATGTGCTGTTGTTTGAGTACAGGGTATTATTTGAATATGTGCTGTTGTTTGAGTATTATTTGAGTATGTGTTGTGTGAGTATAGGGTATATTTGAGTCTGTGCTGTTGTTTGAGTACAGCATATTATTTGAGTATGTGCTGTTGTTTGAGTACAGGGTATTATATGAGTCTGTGCTGTTGTTTGAGTACAGGGTATTTTTGAGTTGGTATGTGCTGTTGTTTGAGTACAGGGTATAATTTGAGTATGTACTGTTGTTTGAGTACAGGGTATTATTTGAGTTTGTGGTGTTTGAGTACAGGGTATTATTTGAGTATGTGTTGTGTGAGTACAGGGTATTATTTGAGTTTGTGCTGTTGTTTAAGTACAGGGTATTATTTAAGTATGTGCTGTTGTTTGAGTACATGGTATTATTTGAGTATGTGCTGTTGTTAGAGTACAGGGTAATATTTGAGTTTTTGCTGTTGTTTGAGTACAGGGTATTATTTGAAAATGTGCTGTTGTTTGAGTACAGGGTATTATTTGAGTATGTGTTGTTTGAGTACAGGGTATTTTTGAGTATGTGTTGTTGTTTGAGTACTGGGTATTATTTGAGTATGTGTTGTGTGAGTACAGGGTATTATTTGAGTATGTGCTGTTGTTTGAGTACATGGTCGTCCGTCCGTCATTCGCGTCAATATTTTACTTTAAACAACTTCTTCTTAATAACCTAAAGGCCTAGGGTGTCGAAATTTGGCCAGAAGCAAACTTGGATGAAGGGCTACAAAGTTTGTTAAAATTAATGACCTTCACCTATTTTCAAGGTCACAGGAGTCAAATATATCAAAAACTTTAAACATCTTCTCAATAACCAAAATGCCCAGGGAGTTGATATTTGGCCAGTAGCATGCTTGGGTGAAGGGCTACCAAGTTTGTTCAAATGAATGACCTTCAATTATATTCAAGGTCACAAGGGTCAATTGTATGAAAAGACCTTTAAACAACTTCTTCTGAATAACCAAAATGCTCAAGGTGATGATATTTGGCCAGTAACATGCTGAGATGAAGGGCTACAAAGTTTGTTCAAATGAATGACCTTAACCCTTATTCAAGGTCACAGGGGTCAAATATGTTAAAAACTTCAAACAACTTCTTCTGAATAACCAAAATGCACAGGGTGATGATATTTGGCCAGTAGCAAGCTTAGATGAAGGTCTACAAAGTTTGTTCAAATGAATGACCTTCACCTTTATTCAGGGTCACAGGGGTCAAATATGTTTAAAAACTTTAAACAACTTCTTCTGAATAACCAAAATGCCCAGGGTGATGATATTTGGCCAGTAGCTAGCTGAGATAAAGGGCTACAAAGTTTGTTCAAATGATTAACCTTCACCCATGTTCAAGGTCACAGGGGTCAAATATGTTTAAAACTTCAAACAACTTCTTCTCAATAACCAAGATGCACAGGGTGATGATATTTGGCCAGTAGCAAGCTTAGATGAAGGTCTACAAAGTTTGTTCAAATGAATGACCTTCACCTATATTCAGGGTCACAGGGGTCAAATATGTTTAAAAACTTTAAACAACTTCTTATGAATAACCAAAATGCCCAGGGTGATGCTATTTGGCCTGTTGCTAGCTGAAATTAAGGGCTACAAAGTTTGTTCAAATGAATGACCTTCACCCATATTCAAGGTCACAAGGGTCAAATATGTTAAAAACTTTAAACAACTTCTTCTGAATAACCAAAATGCCCAGGGTGATGATATTTGGCCAGTAGCTAGCTGAGATAAAGGGCTACAAAGTTTGTTCAAATAAATGACCTTCATTTATATTCAAGGTCCCAGGGTTCAAATATGTTTAAAAACTTTAAAGAACTTCTTCTGAATAACCAAAATGCACAGGGTGATGATATTTGGCCAGTAGCATGCTGAGATGAAGGGCTACAGTGTTTGTTAAAATGCATGACCTTTACCCATATTCAAGGTCACAAGGGTCAAATATGTTAATAACTTTAAACAACTTCTTCTGAATAACCAAAATGCCCAGGGTGATGATATTTGGCCAGTAGCATGCTGAGATGAAGGGCTACAGTGTTTGTTAAAATGCATGACCTTTTCCCATATTCAAGGTCACAAGGGTCAGATATGTTAATAACTTTAAACAACTTCTTCTGAATAACCAAAATGCCAAGGGTAATGATATTTGGCCAGTAGCATGCTGAGATGACCGGCTACAAAGTTTGTTCAAATGAATGACCTTTACCCATATTCAAGGTCACAGGGGTCAAATATGTTTAAAACTTTAAACAACTTCTTCTGAATAACCAAAATGCACAGGGTGATGATATTTGGCCAGTAGCTAGCTGAGATGACGGGCTACAAATTAAAGTTTGTTCAAACGGATGACCTTCACCCATGGGTATTATTTGAAAATGTGCTGTTGTTTGAGTACAGGGTATTATTTGAGTATGTGCTGTTGTTAGAGTGCAGGGTATTATTTGAGTATGTGCTGTTGTTGGAGTACATGGTATTATTTGAGTATGTGTTGTGTGAGTACCGGTTATTATTTGAGTATGTGCTGTTGTTTGAGTACATGGTATTATTTGAGTATTTCTGTTACTAGAGTACAGGGTATTATTTGAGTATGTGCTGTTGTTAGAGTGCAGGGTATTATTTGAGTTTGTGTTGTGTGAAATGAATGACCTTTACCCATATTCAAGGTCACAGGGGTCAAATATGTTTAAAAACTTTAAACAACTTCTTCTGAATAACCAAAATGCACAGGGTGATGATATTTGGCCAGTAGCTAGCTGAGATGACGGGCTACAAATTAAAGTTTGTTCAAACGGATGACCTTCACCCATATTCAAGGTCACAGGGGTCAAATATGTTTAAAACTTTAAACAACTTCTTCTGAATAACCAAAATGCACAGGGTGATGATATTTGGCCAGTAGCATGCTGAGATGAAGGGCTACAAAGTTTGTTCAAATGAATGACCTTTATCCATATTCAAGGTCACAGGGGTCAAATATGTGAAAAACATTCAACAACTTCTTTTGAATAACCAAAATGCCCAGGGTGATGATATTTGGCCAGTAGCTAGCTGAGATGACGGGCTACAAATTAAAGTTTGTTCAAACGGATGACCTTCACCCATATTCAAGGTCACAGGGGTCAAATATGTTTAAAAACTTTAAACAACTTCTTCTGAATAACCAAAATGCACAGGGTGATGATATTTGGCCAGTAGCTAGCTGAGATGAAGGGCTACAAAGTTTGTTCAAATGAATGACCTTAACCCTTATTCAAGGTCACAGGGGTCAAATATGTTAAAAACTTGAAACAACTTCTTCTCAATAACCAAACTGCCCAGGGTGATGATATTTGGCCAGTAGCATGCTGAGATGACCGGCTACTAGGCTTGTTAAAGTGAATGACTTTGACTTATATTCAAGGTCACAGGGGTCAAATTTGTTTAAAATCATTAAACAACCTCTGATGAATAACCATGGGTCCCAGGATGTTTATACTTTGCAAGTTGCATCCTGAGATGAAAGGCTATACAAAGTGTTCAACATAATGACTTTGTTCGACTTTCAATCACAGAGGTGATTAAATGTTCCAAAAAAAAATTAACAAGGTCTTTTGAACGAATTTTAATCATAAATACCGATATTTTGCCTGTAGCTTTATTTTAGATCACTTCTAAGGTAACAAGTATGAGTTTTATACCAGGTGAGTGATGCAGGCCCATTGGGCCTCTTGTTTGAGTATGTGCTGTTGTTGAAGTACAGGGTATTATTTGAGTATGTGTTGTTGTTTGAGTACAGGGTATTATAAGAGTATGTGTTGTGTGAGTACAGGGTACTATTTGAGTATGTGCTGTTGTTAGAGTACAGGGTACTATTTGAGTATGTGCTGTTGTTATAGTGCAGGGTATTATTTGAGTTTGTGTTGTGTGAGTACCGGGTATTATTTGAGTATGTGCTGTTGTTTGAGTACATGGTATTATTTGAGTATTTCTGTTACTAGAGTACAGGGTATTATTTGAGTATGTGCTGTTGTTTGAGTACAGGGTATTTTTTGAGTATGTGCTGTTGTTAGAGTGCAGGGTATTATTTGAGTATGTGCTGTTGTTGGAGTACATGGTATTATTTGAGTATGTGTTGTGTGAGTACCGGTTATTATTTGAGTATGTGCTGTTGTTTGAGTACAGGGTATTATTTGAGTATTTCTGTTACTAGAGTACAGGGTATAATTTGAGTATGTGTTGTGTGAGTACAGGGTATTATTTGAGTATGTGCTGTTGTTTGAGTACTGGGTATTATTTGAGTATGTGCTGTTGTTAGAGTACAGGGTATTATTTGAGTATATGCTTTTGTTTGAGTACAGCGTATTATTTGAGTAAGTTATATTGTTTAAGTACAGGGTATTATTTGAGTATGTTATATTGTTTGAGTACAGAGTATTTTTGAGTAGGTATGTGCTGTTGTTTGAGTACAGGGTATTTTTGAGTAGGTATGTGCTGTTGTTTGAGTACAGGGTATTTTTGAGTAGGTATGTGCTGTTGTTTGAGTACAGGGTATTATTTGAGTATGTGCTATTGTTTGAGTACAGGGTATTATTTGAGTATGTGCTACTGCGCTATTTGTCTTAGTGAAGCTCTATAGTAAACATTTATATAATGGGTTATTCGGGAAATAGCAGATTTATAGTCCCCCGTGGGTGCAAAAACTATTTCCAGAGGCGGCAAAACTGCCACTGGAAATAGTTTTTCAGCTTAGGTGACCATAAATTTGCTATTTCCCTAGCTACCTATTCTATAACTGTTTTATTAAATCGAAACAAATTAAGGCAATTTAAAAAATGAATTTATTGATTCTATCTTGAAACAAATTCAAAGAAAGAAAAAAAATTGGAAGTGCTGTATGCATCGTCGTTGTTGATACATGTATCTTCATTTCTAGCATTCTAGAAGTGTTTTTGTAGACATCTTCACTTATCCAATGGTCACCATTGATTTCCTAGCATATTTAGCCCCATCCACTTTTTTTAAGTTCTGCATAAAACTTGCGTGAACACACATTCACCTCCTCTGTGCTTGCCCTGCCCTAATCGTTGAAACCTCCGGTATGGTGTTCAGTTAAATAAGTTTGAAGTAAATTCACTGAAGTCTTAAGAACAGCTTTTGTATTTAAGCTATACTTTTAGCATCCAAAATATGCTATTATTCATCATCAGCAAGATGATCTAAACGGCCTACATCGGTGGCTATTTTCGCTGTTATTATTTGGTTCTGAATTGTGACGTCACCTGCGTCACGGAGATGGCCAAAGGTTTTCATTGGTTGACATTTTATAAGCTCCACATACAAATATCCATGAAGGAGTAGTCCTCTTTCTGTCTGGGAGTAGTCCTTTCTTGCAGGGAGTGGTCCTATTTTAGGAAGGGAGTAGCCATCAGATGGAGAGATTTAAGTGATTCTAGAGAAATAGGACATTTTTTCGTATTGTTTTTATATAGGGAAAACTCAGAAGAGGTATAATAATATACCCCCGAATGGTGACCAGGTAATTCGAGAAATAGCAAATTTATGGTCACCCTTGGTGTAAAACTATTCCCCTCGACGGCTTTGCTGCCTCGGGAAATAGTTTTTCACCTCGGGGGAACATAAATGTGATTTTTCCCTCATACCCATTCTATAACTGCTTTATTATAACGAAACAAATTATCAAAGGCAATTTTACAAATGAATTTATTTATTCATTTCCTTTCACAATTTCAAAGACTAAAAGAGAAAAAAATACAATTGGAAGTATATGCATCATTGTTGATGATATCTTCATTTCTAGCATTTAAGAACTTTAGTGTTTTTATAGACTGTATCTCAGTCACCATTGTTTCCCTACCATATCTAGATCTAGTCCCGTCCACTTTTTTTAAAAGAGCTTGCTTGACCCTACTCTTCGACGCTTCCGGCATTCCGTTCTGTTAAATAAGTTTGAAGTGAATTCACTGCAGTCTTTATAACAGCTTTTGTATTTAAGGTAATAGGATTGTGTCACCATTTCTCAGTAGAATTTCTTCAAATTTTGTAGTTATATTGCTTTGAAGTAAAGAATTTTCTGCCACAAAAATAATATAGGTTGTCAGAATTTAAAGGATTTTAAATGGAAATTTATGTAAAAAGGAGTGAATTTTGAAAATAAAATGAAAGACACAATTTTAGGCAAAATAATTTCAATAAAAATGACACTGACATAGATTAGTATTGCATTAATGTATATCAATTTAATAAATGCTGAAATTGTGTAAAATTAATTATTTGTATAAACGATTAAAAATTGACATTTTATAATAAAACCCTGTACACATAGTAATTGCATGTAAAGAGTTATCTTTCTTGAAAAACTTCACAATTGTGAAATAGGTAGCCGGTTTCCTGAAGTACAGAAATATGGACACATGTGACTCATTGATAAAAAACAACTGAATTAATGCTTGGATTGCTTTGAAATTTTATTGAGAGAACACATTGTTCTGTCAATAAGAAACATACAATATTTATCAGTTTAATATTAAACATTAGAATATGCGGAAATTGTGATACTGGTTCCCTGCATTGGATTTTCAACTAGGGATGTACTTCCTATTTCCGTTTATCAATACACTCCTATGACCTTAAGGTACGTTTAGCGTCCAACATCTGCTGGAACTCCTCTTTACAACAACAAAACAGCCTTCATCGTCGGCCATTTTCACTGTTGTCATTTGGTTCTGAAAATATGACGTCATGAGCATCATGTAGAAGGCCCCGCCTACAAATGTTGTCATTGGTTTAAATCTGATAAGCGCCACCTACAAATATTCATGAGGGAGTAGTCCTAATTTGGGGAGGGAGTAGCTCTCAGATGGAGAGAATTAAGTGATTTAAGGGAAATAGCAGATTTTATTGTATTGTTTTTATATAGGGAAAACTCGGTAGAGGTATAATAATTTGGTATGTACACAGATAGTTGTGACAAGCTCTGACGAGGACAGGTGTCTGATGAGTGCTGCGAGTAACCTGGCCGGACTGTACCCCCCGACTGGTGACCAGGTGTGGAATTCTAACATCACCTGGCAGCCCATCCCCATTCACACAAAACCTAAGTATGAGGATAACGTAAGTACATGAAATTTAGTCTCTTCAATTCACATCATACTACAGTATCAGGATTTAGTAAATAGAGCCTTTGGCATATCTACATTAAACTAAAATATAAAGATAGTGGAAGTACACTAACCAGTGATTTTTGAGATCTATATATTTGAGTCCTGGATTCATGTTTTTCCTGAGGGACTAGCAAAATTTTCTTGGGACCCACTAGAATATAATTCTTAGCACCTTAAACACAGGCTCATATCCAATAATAAGCCCACCCCCTTATATTGACATGTTTTCATGCACAGGCCCCCTGGGCTTATCAATTGGTAAAATGCAGTAATAGGACTCCTCACAATTTTGAAAAAGATTTTTAGGACTCGCCAGCGAAAAATGCTACAAAAATCATTGATAAACAGTGATAAGGCCTTACCACTGTACTCCATACACTGCCTTAATTTCCTTTGGTTTTGTTTACATTTGTTTCTATATATAATTACCCCTATGTTATTTCAACAGTTCTCTTCTGATACTTTTCTGGGTGGTAATGGCATCGCCTCACCTGGCCCTATGATAACAAAATCATTGAACCACAATTGCACAGGTTTATTGGATATGATACTTTGAGCTGCCAACTCTCTCGATTTAGGCGTAATTTTTCAGCTAATCCATACAATTTTCATACATTCCATCTTGATTAATGATTCAAACATTCTTTAGCATTTAATATATCAATTAAGGACTTTTATTTTCGTCTCGGTCAATATGACTTTCTCAGGTCTATATAATCACATATTCACCTCAGTCCATAATTGATAAATATTACTTAAGGAGGCTCCACCCTTACGCATTTAGCCATCAGAATTCAATGAAAGTTTTACATGATGGTTATGTCACTATGTAGAGATGATTTTATGAAAATCTAAGCATTTCGATAAACTGGGGATTTATTTGTAAAAAATACTGAAAAATTGATTTTTTGTCAAATTCAACACTTTTACATTTTTTGAGCGTGTGGCATTGTTCAAAACTATTACAACAATAAAATAATGAAAAGAAACATTGCTAATCAACCCTACAAATATTTTATTTATCATAAAATATCTACAACATGTTACAAAAAGCGTTTTTTATTGAAACTATATGGATAAAAGTTACTAAATACAAGCCAAAATCAAACAGGACACATAGTTACATACAAAAAGAGTGAAAAATTGAACCAAATACACACAAAGTCTTTATAATTAATTTATTTTACATTTTACAATTATTTTGATCCTGATGAGAGTTGTCTACCTTGAAATAAATCGGAACTTTTTGCAGAGGGATAGAATTTATACAATGACACTTAATTTATTTAATATGCCAAAAACGACGGAAATAAATTAAATTACTATATTTATTTGTCAATTTACTGTTCTTTTATGGAACAAAATTACTCTCAATCATATACGACCTTCTTGAAGTCGTCTGATCATATGTCAGTGTTTTCCCGTGAGTTAATTAATGTCCGATTTCCAAGTTAAGTCTAGATATCGGGTGTTGACATATCACGTCACGCACACGTGTACTATTGCTTACCCGGTGTTACTATAATTTACACTACGGTATTGGATTGCCCGATACGCAATACGGAAATGATGACACAAAAATACGACAAGAAAAACATGTGTATTACGAAGGGTGGAAACTCCTTAAGTAATTATATTAAATTTCTTATTTATCTGGCAGCGTATCAACATGGGAGAAACTTGTCCATCTTACACCGAGCAGTATGACAAAGACATGAGGTCGCCTTCTATTGCTGCTATTGACAAGGCCAACAAGGCATGTATCATATTGACTATTAACATTGATGTGTCCATGATCTACAAACAAAGCAGTGTTTAGAAGCCCCCATCCACTGTTTCTCTGGTCTGACAGATCCTCTGTTTGCATCTTCTACACTACAGTCAAACTTCGATGTTTCCAAATGTGCGGGACCATTGGGGTAAAATTTGAAACTTTGAGACTACGACTCACGAAAAATTGAACTTCGAACATCTTTACAATCATGCTAAGTTAATATTGAAATGTATTTTCCCCTATCATTACTTTAAAACTAGATTTAACCCGGTACATTATAAATTCTGAACCTATTATTGAATCTGCATATTATATGGGATATATGATGAGATTGTTCAGTGACAAGAACACAAAGCAAAAAAACCCAATTTGAAATCTAAAAATATTGGATTAAATGTAATTAGAAAATATGTTTGATGTTTTTGTGTTCTCTAATTTGCATGTTTACATGTATAAGTTCCAATATTTTCGTACAGGGATTTTGTTTTACTTTGATTAATTTGTTGTAAGTTTAAATGTTTTCCTCACAATTGAGCCGTGATTGTAGCTGTTAGAATTTTGGCTTATAGAAGTTCATTTCATAAAAAATAAGGACTTTGTCGTAAGTTCAACACAACAAGAAATTTGAATCTTTGAAGTTTGATTTATGGAAGTTTGACTGTATTTCCCAAAATCTGATATATTGTTAATATCTTGAAATTACTGTTCAATTAAATTATAACTAGTAGAGTGTAGCCATAGAAGTTAGTAACCTTGCATTGTTATTACTGTTTTAATATTTCTTTAAATCATTGTGATGCATTTCATCTTCAGGAATTTTACCAGTTTCTGTCCAACAAGACCGGATGGGGACCGCTGAACATCACAAGCATATGGAAAATTTCAGACCTGTTCGTCTGCGAGGTAATTTATAGTTACTTTGTCCTCTCTGTGTATACACTCTTTAAGAATCACCGTGGCCATTTCTGTCATCCATGGTTGCCTTTAAGGCTTGATACATTAATACTTACGTTTCCACTTACACCACAGACCCTATACTTCTGCCAGCCATGATGTCTTTTGGACATTTTAAGGAAGGTCTGTAAATGTCAGTTTTCTTTTATATGATCCTGGTAAAACCTATTTTGAAAATAAAAACAATTCTTAGCCGATGTTCCTTATTTCATCACCCCTTGTCCTGGGGTCACACACAGACAACTTAACTAGTCTGAGTTTTTACCTTATAAAAATCAATTTACGGCAGAAAAAATATTTTAGCAGACAGGTCCCACGTTTGACCATATGATAGTAAATATAATTTTATACTTAGTTTATATAGAGATTTTTTTTTTATAGTACATAGACAAAACATTGTAATAAGCAGGTTATCATTATAAGTTAGTTCCACTCTATTCGATTTTTAGGACTAATAGGGTGTAAATTAAAGAGTGTGTTTTTAATAATTCCTGGGTCTCACACATAAGTTACAGATATAGACATAGGGAAAAAATGTCTTTCATTTTGATTCATTTTTTAATTTTCATATATGTATTTGGAAAAGTAAGACTAAAGGCATACAGTCTCAATGATAAAGAATTATATTGTTTGTATACATTTAGAATTGAGCAATTTTATGAAATGAGATCAGAAGAGATTTTAAAGTGGGACTGAGGTTTAAAATACAAATACAGGGACTGTCCGAAATAAAACCAAAGACCAGCAGGAGGTCATCACCATTCTTTTCTCTCCTTTGTTTCTTTAAGGATCCATATACCCCTGCAAAAACTTAATCTATGCACAATAAACTGTTTTTATGGCATTACTTTATAGCTTGATGAATTAGTTCTGAAAGGAGTAACTCAACCTGGCTAGACAAAAATATTATGAAGATGAAATAAACAAAACGTAATCAACAACAATGTTCTTTGAAAAAAATCAACTTGGCTTTACTAGGATTCAAACCCAAATTTGGTCAATAGTAGCACCTGGGCCCATGCAATTACTCTTCAGTTATATCCAAAGAAAATTAAATGGAGATTATATGAATTATATTCCTTTTAAGGGGGTTTTCATCGTCATGGATCTTTATTCCATGGCCATGAATTTAAAGGTAATATATTCATGGGATAACCATGGGTAAAAAAAACCATGAAATGACACTGGTTCCATGGCCATGAATAATGCCATGAATTGTTTTCATGGACAAGTTCAAGGCATTTTGAATCTTATCTTATAAAATCCATGGTCATGAATTATGATCCTTTTCAGGGTGTTTTCATGGCACATTTTCATGGATAATTTTCATGGGTAGTTGTTCATGGTAAATTCATGGGCTGGCATACAGTAGTGTTACTGTACATTCAAAAAAAACCACAAAAGAATTCTCAAGTATTTTGCTAGTCCAAATTATTCTGGCATTTCATTGACTTTTTTTTATATTGGTCTGGCTTCAGAACTTCAGCCCTCTATAACATGCGGGAAATAAGGGACCCGCGCCAGTGTCGCTCTTCAAACTGATATTTTAGAAACAAATCATCATTTTCACACACATGTCGCACATGGATCGAAAGATAAAACGTCAGAATAATTCGGACTAGTATTTTGCCTGCAGTGGAACAGGTATCCTTAAATGAACTATAGCTGCCATTTCTTTTTCTTGTACATCAGAAAGCCCATGGGATGAATTGGACAACTTGGGCCAATGAAACCTGGAAGAATGAGAAGATTACAGTGTATGAAAAGCTGCGTTATCTGGACGACATTGCATTTAGATTACTTTTTAGTGGACCGAAGAGCAGATTAAAGGGAGGTAAGACACTTCTCACATCGTTTTGGTGAGGTATAATTAACAACTTATTTTCATCATACATCAGTTTGTGTTAAATGCTTGCTTGACCAGGAACCATAATTGTTTAAAAGTTGGAAGTATGTTTACCAGTGGTAGACAAAGGAAATTGTATCATTAGATCTTTATGACTTAAGTGCAGGTAGGTGCCTCCATAAGGAAAAATCAAACACTCCCTTGTAAAAGAATTCAAGTCCTGTGTGGGAATTCTATCCCTGTGTGGAGTTTGGCGTAGGACCAGAGCACTGTTTAGGTACCTGACTTATATCCTTTCTAAACCGGAGGATGGAGTTTCATTATCTCTTCAACATATTGGAATACACAGTTAAAGGCTTCCTAGTAAAAACAACAATGCTCTGGTCAATAATATTTTTGACCTTTCTAACATGGATACTGTTTAAAGAATGTAGCGGAACTTGACTGGTAGAGCGTCCGACTAGAGTTTGGAAGGTCCAGGGTTTCGGTGCCAAATGTAACGGGAACGGAAACATGCATAGCCAGACCGAGGTTCGAAACCAAGACCCTCCGAATTCTAGAGGAATGTTAACGCTCTACCAGTTGAGCTACCTGATCGCCAACGATGGGCCCATCCAGTCTAGTTCTACTTCAAGGGCAATTATGTTTTGTTTACAGAATAATATTGTATAGGAAACTGGGTAATTATGAATTGACTGAAAAAAATAATTTGTACAGGATAATTATAAGCATCACACCTGCCAACTTAACACTATGAAAAACGTTTTCATGATATACATGTTGAGTGTATAAACAATGTTTATTTCTACAGATATCAAGTTAGATTTTTTTTTCTTTTCCATTAGGTCCTCTACTTAAAGAAATTATTGAGAATATGTGGCATCGTTTGAAAGGAGAGACACAGCCAAAGTTGTATATGCATTCAGGGGTATGTTATATAAGGCATAGCATATGAAAATCCAGACATTTATTAGCATGATTCCTGGCAATGCGAAACCCAGCAATCATTTTTACTGTGATTTAAAAGAGAACTATTGGTAGTTGAATTGTACTGAATGTGTAACACAATATCAGGCAGATATATTGTAAATCTAACTTTTGAAGTTACTCTTCAAATACATCCATCTTTTTTTATACAGCTCAATACAAATTGCAATTAACTTTTTAAAGACTAAATTCAATAATATACCTGGTTTAATGCATCTAGATGAATACTTCAGACAATTGATTTAGAACATTGCTGATTGATCATCTAAAACACTTAAATGACAAAATGTTGACATATCAGGTTGTGAAATAACGTCCCAGCTTTGATTTGTTTCCACAGCATGATACCACAGTAGCAGCCCTGCTAACAGCCCTGGGACTCTATGATCACGGCAAAAGTCCACCCTATGCTGCAATGGTAGCTGTGGAACTGAGGGAAAATACAACAGCTCAGCCTCATAACTACTTTGTCAATGTCTGGTACAAAAACACTACAGAAACAGATACAGCCTACAAACTGACTATACCAGGTAAGGGGCAGTAGATACAGCCTATAAACTGACTATACAAGGTAAGGGGCAGTAGATACAGCCTAAACACTGACTATACCAGGTAAGGGGCAGCAGATACAGCCTACACACTGACTATACCAGGTAAGGGGCAACAGATACAGCCTACACACTGACTATACCAGGTAAGGGGCATTAGATACAGCCTATAAACTGACTATACCAGGTAAGGGGCAGTAGATACAGCCTACACACTGACTATACCAGGTAAGGGGCAGCAGACACTTCCTACAAACTGACTATACCGGGTAAGGGGCAGTAGATACAGCCTACAAACTGTCTATACCAGGTAAGGGGCAGCAGATAGAGCCTACAAACTGTCTATACCAGGTAAGGGGCAGCAGATACAGCCTACAAACTGTCTATACCAGGTAAGGGGCAGCAGATACAGCCTACAAACTGTCTATACCAGGTAAGGGGCAGCAGATACAGCCTACACACTGACTATACCAGGTAAGGGGCAGCAGATACAGCCTACAAACTGTCTATACCAGGTAAGGGGCAGCAGATACAGCCTACAAACTGACTATACCAGGTAAGGGGCAGCAGATACAGCCTACAAACTGACTATACCAGGTAAGGGGCAGCAGATACAGCCTACAAACTGACTATACCAGGTAAGGGGCAGCAGATACAGCCTACAAACTGACTATACCAGGTAAGGGGCAGCAGATACAGCCTACAAACTGACTATACCAGGTAAGGGGCAGCAGATACAGCCTACAAACTGACTATACCAGGTAAGGGGCAGCAGATACAGCCTACAAACTGACTATACCAGGTAAGGGGCAGCAGATACAGCCTACAAACTGACTATACCAGGTAAGGGGCAGCAGATACAGCCTACAAACTGACTATACCAGGTAAGGGGCAGCAGATACAGCCTACAAACTGACTATACCAGGTAAGGGGCAGCAGATACAGCCTACAAACTGTCTATACCAGGTAAGGGGCAGCAGATACAGCCTACAAACTGACTATACCAGGTAAGGGGCAGCAGATACAGCCTACAAACTGACTATACCAGGTAAGGGGCAGCAGATACAGCCTACAAACTGACTATACCAGGTAAGGGGCAGCAGATACAGCCTACAAACTGACTATACCAGGTAAGGGGCAGCAGATACAGCCTACAAACTGACTATACCAGGTAAGGGGCAGCAGATACAGCCTACAAACTGACTATACCAGGTAAGGGGCAGCAGATACAGCCTACAAACTGACTATACCAGGTAAGGGGCAGCAGATACAGCCTACAAACTGACTATACCAGGTAAGGGGCAGCAGATACAGCCTACAAACTGACTATACCAGGTAAGGGGCAGCAGATACAGCCTACAAACTGTCTATACCAGGTAAGGGGCAGCAGATACAGCCTACAAACTGACTATACCAGGTAAGGGGCAGCAGATACAGCCTACAAACTGACTATACCAGGTAAGGGGCAGCAGATACAGCCTACAAACTGACTATACCAGGTAAGGGGCAGCAGATACAGCCTACAAACTGACTATACCAGGTAAGGGGCAGCAGATACAGCCTACAAACTGACTATACCAGGTAAGGGGCAGCAGATACAGCCTACAAACTGACTATACCAGGTAAGGGGCAGCAGATACAGCCTACAAACTGACTATACCAGGTAAGGGGCAGCAGATACAGCCTACAAACTGACTATACCAGGTAAGGGGCAGCAGATACAGCCTACAAACTGACTATACCAGGTAAGGGGCAGCAGATACAGCCTACAAACTGACTATACCAGGTAAGGGGCAGCAGATACAGCCTACAAACTGACTATACCAGGTAAGGGGCAGCAGATACAGCCTACAAACTGACTATACCAGGTAAGGGGCAGCAGATACAGCCTACAAACTGACTATACCAGGTAAGGGGCAGCAGATACAGCCTACAAACTGACTATACCAGGTAAGGGGCAGCAGATACAGCCTACAAACTGACTATACCAGGTAAGGGGCAGCAGATACAGCCTACAAACTGACTATACCAGGTAAGGGGCAGCAGATACAGCCTACAAACTGACTATACCAGGTAAGGGGCAGCAGATACAGCCTACAAACTGACTATACCAGGTAAGGGGCAGCAGATACAGCCTACAAACTGACTATACCAGGTAAGGGGCAGCAGATACAGCCTACAAACTGACTATACCAGGTAAGGGGCAGCAGATACAGCCTACAAACTGACTATACCAGGTAAGGGGCAGCAGATACAGCCTACAAACTGACTATACCAGGTAAGGGGCAGCAGATACAGCCTACAAACTGACTATACCAGGTAAGGGGCAGCAGATACAGCCTACAAACTGACTATACCAGGTAAGGGGCAGCAGATACAGCCTACAAACTGACTATACCAGGTAAGGGGCAGCAGATACAGCCTACAAACTGACTATACCAGGTAAGGGGCAGCAGATACAGCCTACAAACTGACTATACCAGGTAAGGGGCAGCAGATACAGCCTACAAACTGACTATACCAGGTAAGGGGCAGCAGATACAGCCTACAAACTGACTATACCAGGTAAGGGGCAGCAGATACAGCCTACAAACTGACTATACCAGGTAAGGGGCAGCAGATACAGCCTACAAACTGACTATACCAGGTAAGGGGCAGCAGATACAGCCTACAAACTGACTATACCAGGTAAGGGGCAGCAGATACAGCCTACAAACTGACTATACCAGGTAAGGGGCAGCAGATACAGCCTACAAACTGACTATACCAGGTAAGGGGCAGCAGATACAGCCTACAAACTGACTATACCAGGTAAGGGGCAGCAGATACAGCCTACAAACTGACTATACCAGGTAAGGGGCAGCAGATACAGCCTACAAACTGACTATACCAGGTAAGGGGCAGCAGATACAGCCTACAAACTGACTATACCAGGTAAGGGGCAGCAGATACAGCCTACAAACTGACTATACCAGGTAAGGGGCAGCAGATACAGCCTACAAACTGACTATACCAGGTAAGGGGCAGCAGATACAGCCTACAAACTGACTATACCAGGTAAGGGGCAGCAGATACAGCCTACAAACTGACTATACCAGGTAAGGGGCAGCAGATACAGCCTACAAACTGACTATACCAGGTAAGGGGCAGCAGATACAGCCTACAAACTGACTATACCAGGTAAGGGGCAGCAGATACAGCCTACAAACTGACTATACCAGGTAAGGGGCAGCAGATACAGCCTACAAACTGACTATACCAGGTAAGGGGCAGCAGATACAGCCTACAAACTGACTATACCAGGTAAGGGGCAGCAGATACAGCCTACAAACTGACTATACCAGGTAAGGGGCAGCAGATACAGCCTACAAACTGACTATACCAGGTAAGGGGCAGCAGATACAGCCTACAAACTGACTATACCAGGTAAGGGGCAGCAGATACAGCCTACAAACTGACTATACCAGGTAAGGGGCAGCAGATACAGCCTACAAACTGACTATACCAGGTAAGGGGCAGCAGATACAGCCTACAAACTGACTATACCAGGTAAGGGGCAGCAGATACAGCCTACAAACTGACTATACCAGGTAAGGGGCAGCAGATACAGCCTACAAACTGACTATACCAGGTAAGGGGCAGCAGATACAGCCTACAAACTGACTATACCAGGTAAGGGGCAGCAGATACAGCCTACAAACTGACTATACCAGGTAAGGGGCAGCAGATACAGCCTACAAACTGACTATACCAGGTAAGGGGCAGCAGATACAGCCTACAAACTGACTATACCAGGTAAGGGGCAGCAGATACAGCCTACAAACTGACTATACCAGGTAAGGGGCAGCAGATACAGCCTACAAACTGACTATACCAGGTAAGGGGCAGCAGATACAGCCTACAAACTGACTATACCAGGTAAGGGGCAGCAGATACAGCCTACAAACTGACTATACCAGGTAAGGGGCAGCAGATACAGCCTACAAACTGACTATACCAGGTAAGGGGCAGCAGATACAGCCTACAAACTGACTATACCAGGTAAGGGGCAGCAGATACAGCCTACAAACTGACTATACCAGGTAAGGGGCAGCAGATACAGCCTACAAACTGACTATACCAGGTAAGGGGCAGCAGATACAGCCTACAAACTGACTATACCAGGTAAGGGGCAGCAGATACAGCCTACAAACTGACTATACCAGGTAAGGGGCAGCAGATACAGCCTACAAACTGACTATACCAGGTAAGGGGCAGCAGATACAGCCTACAAACTGACTATACCAGGTAAGGGGCAGCAGATACAGCCTACAAACTGACTATACCAGGTAAGGGGCAGCAGATACAGCCTACAAACTGACTATACCAGGTAAGGGGCAGCAGATACAGCCTACAAACTGACTATACCAGGTAAGGGGCAGCAGATACAGCCTACAAACTGACTATACCAGGTAAGGGGCAGCAGATACAGCCTACAAACTGACTATACCAGGTAAGGGGCAGCAGATACAGCCTACAAACTGACTATACCAGGTAAGGGGCAGCAGATACAGCCTACAAACTGACTATACCAGGTAAGGGGCAGCAGATACAGCCTACAAACTGACTATACCAGGTAAGGGGCAGCAGATACAGCCTACAAACTGACTATACCAGGTAAGGGGCAGCAGATACAGCCTACAAACTGACTATACCAGGTAAGGGGCAGCAGATACAGCCTACAAACTGACTATACCAGGTAAGGGGCAGCAGATACAGCCTACAAACTGACTATACCAGGTAAGGGGCAGCAGATACAGCCTACAAACTGACTATACCAGGTAAGGGGCAGCAGATACAGCCTACAAACTGACTATACCAGGTAAGGGGCAGCAGATACAGCCTACAAACTGACTATACCAGGTAAGGGGCAGCAGATACAGCCTACAAACTGACTATACCAGGTAAGGGGCAGCAGATACAGCCTACAAACTGACTATACCAGGTAAGGGGCAGCAGATACAGCCTACAAACTGACTATACCAGGTAAGGGGCAGCAGATACAGCCTACAAACTGACTATACCAGGTAAGGGGCAGCAGATACAGCCTACAAACTGACTATACCAGGTAAGGGGCAGCAGATACAGCCTACAAACTGACTATACCAGGTAAGGGGCAGCAGATACAGCCTACAAACTGACTATACCAGGTAAGGGGCAGCAGATACAGCCTACAAACTGACTATACCAGGTAAGGGGCAGCAGATACAGCCTACAAACTGACTATACCAGGTAAGGGGCAGCAGATACAGCCTACAAACTGTCTATACCAGGTAAGGGGCAGCAGATACAGCCTACAAACTGACTATACCAGGTAAGGGGCAGTAGATACAGCCTATAAACTGTCTATACCAGGTAAGGGGCAGCAGATACAGCCTACAAACTGTCTATACCAGGTAAAGGGCAGCACATACAGTTTACAAACTGTCTATACCAGGTAAGGGGCAGCAAATACAGTCTACAAACTGACCATACCAGGTAAGGAACAGCCATTTAAGTTTTTAACTTCTTTTCAAAAATAGATTAGGAGATTGAATGAAAATTAGCTAGCACAAGTGTGTTTTTCTGTGTTAGTTGTCTTTCGAACGATTTTTTTTCTCTGCTTATATAATAATATTATGATATGGGAATGACCACATATTACAGCTAGTGTTTGACGCCAAATCAGCAGTCATCACCACAGATTACCGATTTTAATCATTTAAGAGAAGGTAAAAATTGTGTCGCCAAAGAATTTCACTATTTGTTGTCTTTTAATCTTCATTCTTATCATATATATGACCGACGACTCCAAATAAAACTATTTGAAGGGAGGTTATCCAATATGGCGGACCAGAAACTTGAGAACGATAACCCAAGAATGGCTTGTTCCTGCGTATAGTGCGCACCCCCTTTTTGACATGACAATATTTACAGTTGTGGGATCGCACAACGTTACACGATGTGCGGTGTGCGCACGATGTGTGCACGGTTTGTGAACGATATGTGCACGAAGTGCGAACGATAAAAAATTGGACAATCATTGCTTGCGCACATTTGTGCGGACGATGAGCGAATGTTGTGCGATAACAATCGTGGTTGGTGTAAATTGAGGAATGCCTTAACAATAAATACTGTTTCGTGCATGTGTTTAAACACATGAACTTGATTATTTAATATGTGTCTATAATTATTCTAGCTGCATCTATAAGCTTATCTTTCTCTCTATGCTTTCTTAAATTTAGAAACGATGTTTTCGGTGTTTTTTAAATAACCTAAATCGACACATGTAAAATTACAACACAGTCTCGGCAATACAGGTAAACATAGCCACTTTGTACCTGTACCTAGACCGTAGTTATCCCCCGCCCGGGGCACTTACGTAACTCGCCAAGGTGTGAAAACCAGGTGAAGGGGAGCTATAGACCAAAACGAATGCAAATAACAAATACTTAACATCCAGTTGTGTTTTCATAACGGTCATACAGCATATATCACTTATCAGCTCTATGTGTCAGGCACAGGCCAGGTAAAACTCTGGTCACTCATCAAATTGTTATTTACCTGTTTTGTTACCTAGAAACTAAACCCATTCTTGACAGTCTTACGGTCACTGTAACACGCATTGTAAAATTGTACATAATCTTAGTTATTGTGATGAGAAATTATAGTAATATATACAGTTTACATTATTGCATACGAGCCTTTCGTATTCTTTTCATTCCGTAATATTGATCAACAAATTGTACCAAATCACACAGATGTGCGAATAAAAGCGCACAACAGGGCGAACGATTGTTAAATCGCACAGTTGTGCGGACGGTGTGTGAACGATGTATGCACGGTGTGCGCACGGTATTTTTGATGCGTCTTGCGGTCACACAACTGTACCTAAAAACACTTTACGTGCACATTTACGGTACTGGTATATTTGATCAATATAACAGCTCTGAGGCTTCCGCAGACAATAGTTCCCTTATTCTGACCATCTCAGAAAAACAGACAAAATACCACAACTGTGGTCTGAGTGACTGAAGCAGAGGACAACAATCGGGTATCAACCTGATCATCTTTACTATGGTGTTATTGTTTTATATCGCATAATAAATGTATATATTATGAGTTATCTCTGGGTAAGGAGGGGTCTACGGGCTCATAGACCCAATCTGGTCTTTATAGACCCATAGCTGAAGGTGAAGAGTCTATAAAGACCAAAGGGGTCTATCAGCCTGAAGACCCCTCCTAACCCAGAGATAACGAATTTGTCACCCTGACAATCTTTTATTACTTTTCTGCAAAATTATAAGTCACTTTGTGAGTTTGAGTTGTACCTGACTGCTACCAAAATAGCCCCTACCGGACACCTTTTCGGCAATATTTCGGACAATACACAATCATCTTTGTTATAATCACCCCAGCGGCCCCTTCATTGCCTGTTTTGCTGAATTTGCTGTCGTTTTCGATTGCTTGTCGGCTATTTCATCATGTGAATGATTGGCAAACCTCTAATGCTTGAGTGTGTCGGACACCATCTTTGTTGTTACCCAGAGAGTTTCTAGTGTGAGATTTATCTCCCCTTGCATCTGCTTTCATAGAGCGCGGCAGAGCGGGGTCTATAGAAATATAAACCCTGTCAAGATATCTTATCAGAAAAAGTGTTACAAATTAGAAGAGTGACAAATATTAATATTTGAGTGTTGCTACATTTTACCTTGTGGTCATAAAGCAGTATCTATAATATTACATCTGAATAGCTGATCACTGACTTCATCGTACAATTGAGGTCATTCTTTCAAAAGTTTTCAACTTAAAAGAAGCCAGGATTTACCATGTTAAAACTTACACATGTATGTGCTTGCTTCAGAGATACAGAAACCCAGCTACAGAATCATGATGTATTGAAGGTGAATACTATAAAAATGTAGATGTTTATTTTGTGATGTGTTTCAGGCTGCACTACTGACTGTCCATACGACACATTTCTCAATTTGACCAAAGACAAAATCCCGACAGACTGGAATAAGGAATGTGGATTGGCAGATAATTCTGGAAAAGCAAAGAAAAACATCCTTAACATGCGTAAGTTGTGTAATGGCTCCCTATATGGAGACGGGTAGGGCAACCTATATTGTTACAGATGTCATTTCAAAGATAACTACATCGTACAGCCCCACATCTGAGATGCGGATGCCCTATAGTAATCACAGTGTCTGTCTGTCTGTCTGTTTGTCTGTCCATCCTCACTTTCGTTTCTGGAGATCTTTCTGAAATTAGATATGGTGATACACTGTGTAATGAAGATGAGCAATGAGGGTTTAACAATTTTCTAAGGTCTTAAAGGTTATGGTCTTATCTTGATATCGAAATGTCAAAATGTTTTGAATTTGACATGGTAATACATTGTAATATGTTTTTGCTGTCAAGGTCAAGGTTACTGTTACTAAAAATAAATTGGGGTTGTCAGTAAGGCACATGGCCGGTCATCGCTGACCTGTCAATTATCTAGTTGCATCTCTAATAGTGCCCATGTTCATCTTTCACATTCACTCTTATTGACTATACAAAATGTTGTCTTCGAAAGGTTCCGTTTTCAATAAACATACGTTCTCTACATCTTTGAAATATGTAATGACAAAATCAAAGGCCATGTATACACCACCATTTAGATGATACAAGTTAATCATTGTCTATCCAAGTTACATTGTGATATTGATTCATTTCTGTCCACTGTCGTCATTGTGACAGATACAGTTTATTAGCTTTTCTGTCGTTTATACTTTCACAGCGACCATTGTGTCCATCGTCCTTGGCAGCCTCCTCCTCGTCTCCCTCATTGCCTTGGTGGTCACATGTGTACGGGCGCGGAAAGGAAACGGAGGATTCCGAAAGTTTGAAGATTTCAACACCTGATTCTCTGTAACATTATTGTTAGTCTTACAACATCAAAGGATTCTGTCTGAAACTTTACTATAATCATGCTGTTTATTGTTAATCCATTGCCTTTATTTTAGTTGCATGGCAATACATTCTAGGGCAAATATTGATGCTTTAACTCATCAATTTTTTTACAATGAAAAACATGTTATTTAAATGAGTAAATTGTTTGTTATGTAAGAACAAAGTGGCACTTATTCTTTTTCAATATGCGATATATGTTTTCTTTTAAAAGTGTTACCAATATATATATATATATTTTTGACTTAACTATGATACGATACTGTAAAAAAGAGAAAAATGCTGTGTGGAAATGCTCATGTTTTTCCTGACGAGTAAAAAGTTTGGGGCAAAAATTTAAAGTTGAACCTTGTTATATTGCCACCATTTTATCTAGAGTAATTTTGGCATTATAGATGGCTTTGGCAATAAATTGAGGGGATTGTATAAAGAAATTCTTAAGAAAACAAGAAAATGGGGCATTGGCAGCATACAATGTGGCAATAAAATGAGTGGCATTATACAGAGGTGTTACTCTGCACACATGAATATATATATATACACGTGGTAGATCATATAGAATCATTTCCACATGTAAGAAATTCCACTTTCACCGTACAATGGGAATTTCTTGCCGTAGTTTAACTTTTGCCATTTTTGTCTTCCATACTGCGGAAAAATGTGTTGTGATAGCAAACATTACTATAAAGCATATGATTTGTAGTAAAGTAATTGTACAATGTATATATGCTCGGGCAAAAAGAACATGGGAAAATATGTATTGTACAAGTGAAGGGCCAATTTTTTTATCGAACAACATTTTTGTTCTAAGCAGTATATATTTTTCTAAATATAGAACTTCAATTTTTGTAAGAAAAAATGAAGTTTAAGTCAAAGCAATCCTATGTTTTATATCAAACTATTTTAATTGTGTTTTCTTGATAAAGGAATGGAAAAAAATCACTCATACAAAGGTTATTCTTTATATATATAGGGTTTCTACAGGCCTTGAAAATGCCCTAAAAAACAAGGGTTGCCTTTAAAAGCCTGAAAAATCGAAAAGGCCCTTAAAGCCCCTAAATTACACAAAAAAACGTCTTTTAACTTGAATTTGAGTGAGTAATCATTAAAATATGGCTGTACAAATGTATATGAATTAAACGTTTCTAATAAGTTTATTTCAAGATTTTTCGGACGCCAACCAGTTTTAGATTTTAGTGTTGCTAAGTGTCTGTATGATGAATCTAGAGGAATCACGGTTACACATTTGGGTCTAAATATTCTGAGCATTTCCAAACGGGAGCAGATTTTAAGTCTTATATTTACTAAAAAAGGGCAGTTCAAAAGGGCCAAAGAAGCCTTGAATTTCATAGTTAAACGTCTGTGCGAAACACTGTATATAGCTTTAGGTCACAACCTACGTACGAAATATTGAACTGTGATATGTTTTTCAAATATATATCTGTTTATATGTATACTGTATATAAACAATAAAGCAGGCAGTGGGTGAATTGTATAGGTGAGATATTCAATGATAGTTTGAGTGAAGTTAGCGTCCCCGGTATATACATGTATGTAATGTGTTAATATAAATATGAAATTCATGGCAAGTGGTATAAGGTTGAAGTGATAAATTGAAGGATTTTATAAAAGATCAAATTGTTGGATGGTAATTTTGTTTTGTTTTTATATTTAAACTTGTTGAAATGTTTTTGTCTCAAATCTGCCAACAGTTGGAATTGCAAAAACAAAATCAAAAGACTTATTACATCAACTGTTTTGATTCAAATAAAGTGATGGCGTAAGTTTTCTACTTGCTCCATCAGTTGTGTTTACTGTTGTGAAGCAAAAACATTTCTGATGAAATATTCACTGACTTCATCAGCTTTGTTAACTTGTAAAGAAGAAAAACATTGCTGATGTAAATATTCCACTCACTCCACATTAGCTGTGATAACCTTTAGAAAGCAAAATAAATTGCTGATGTAAGGTTTACTCATTCCATCAGCTGTTTTAACTCACTGCTGTAAATATTATGCTATTTATAGAATGTAGTGCATGTATCTACAGCTACAAACATTATTATGATGTCCACTTGACCAGGACCAATGTGTTTGGGTGGTATGTGTCAGTTGAAAAGATCAGACATTTAATTGGATTTTTTTTATAAATTCAATATGATCTCATTATAAGTTCATAAATGTGGATTAATGTAATATATGTGCTCATTATAGGTAGAATATTGTTATTGAGGGAAGTTTAAGATTAAGATGAAATCATTCCATGTAAAAAAGTTCTTCAAATCTCAAGTTTCAAATGCAATTCATTGTCGTTTGATGCAGGTTAATTTGGTAAATTAGATCAAATTTTGTTTTTTAATTCTGATATATATCAAGAACAAATTCATGAATTTTATTCTAATTTGATGGTGTTCTTTAGGGGAGGGAAGGGCAAGAATCTGTAAAATATGGGTTCCTGAAAGAGCTGGGTTGGGTTGGTAGCTAAAAGGGGCCAACAAATAATAAATTTGCATATTTTTAAATAATCTCTCTTTTATTATCTAGGAATATTAAAATGAAATAGTGTGTTATGGGGGTTGGGTTGATGGGTAAGAGGGCCACCACATAATAAATTTGCATATTTGTAAACAATCTCGTTTTTTTTTTAGGTCACCTGAGACAAAGTCTCAAGTGACCTATTGCGATCGCTTTTTGTCCGTCTGTGTGCATCCGTAAACAATTTACTTTTTCAACTTCTTCTCCAAAACCCCTGAACCAATGTCAATGAAATTTTGTAAAAACCTTCCATGGCCAAAGGTCAACAAAAATAGCGGCTGATTTGGTCCTCAGCCCACAGGGGCCTGAGGGGTGGGGCCAAAAAGGGTCAAATTGACTAAAATTTCAAAAATCTTCTTCTCAAGACCCAGATATGGCAGAATCAAATACTCTTCATAGATGATAGGGTCTTAAGGTGCTTTACCAAAATTGTGAATTTCTTGACCCTGGGGTCTCACGTTTACCCCTGGGGAGGGGGTAAACTTTACTATAGTTTACATAGGGAAATCTCAATTTTTGACTAACATTTTTTCAATTTCCATTGGAAGTCATTCAATTTAGGTTAGCATTATCCGTATTGGATAGCAGTTTGATGGTATGCACATATCAGCCCTGACTGACCTCCCGGGGCTGATGGGTGGGGCCAAAAACGGTTGAATTGACTGAAATTTCAAAAATCTTCTTCTCAAAGACCCAGATAAGGTAGAATCAAACACTCTTCAAAGATGGAAGGGTCTTGCTGTGCTTAACCAAAATTATGAATTTCATGACCCTGGGGTCTCACGTTTACCCCTGGGGAGGGGGTAAACATTACTATAGTTTATATAGGGAAATCACATTTTGGATCAACATTTGTTTAATTTCCATTAGAAGTAATTCAATTTGGGTTAGCATTATCAGTATTGGATAGCAGTTTGATGGTATGCACATATCAGCCCTGACTGACCCCCTTGGACTGATGGGTGTGGCCAAAAACGGTTGAATTGACTGAAATTTCAAAAATCTTCTTCTCAAGACCCAGATATGGTAGAATCAAACACTCTTCACTAGATAGAAGGGTCATAACTCATTCACCCCTGAACTTTCATAATGAACTATTCAAACCTTAAAATTGGAAGAGTTCAAATGTGTCTTCAGGGGTGAATGAGTCAAGGTGCTTAACCAAAATATGAATTTCATGACCCTGGGGTCTCACGTTTACCCCTGGGGAGGGGGTAAACTTTACTATAGTTTATATAGGGAAATCACATTTTGGCCAAACATTTGTTTAGTTTCCATTTGAAGTAATTCAATTTGGGTTAGCATTATCAGTATTAGATAGCAGTTTGATGGTATGTACATATCAGCACTGACTGACCCCCCCGGGCTGATGGGTGGGACCAAAAAGGGTCGAATTGACTGAAATTTCAAAAATCTTCTTCTCAAGACCCAGATATTGTAGAATCAAACACTCTTCATAGATGGAAGGGTCTTAAGGTTTATGACCCTAGGGTTTCACGTTTACCCCCTGGGGAAGGAGGGGAGGGGGCAAAATTTATTATGGTTTATAATGACACTTGGAATATTACATGTTAATAATTCGACTGGAATTATAACCCTGAGTTGACAGTTTGATACTTTGAACATTTTGAGCCAGCCTTACCCCCAAGGGCTGTTGGGTGGGGTCAAAGGAGTCAGTGTGCTAAAATTTATTCATTTTCCTTGTTTAGAATCAGAGGTGCTAGTTTCAAATACTTTTCAGTCTTAAATATGTATGCTAGATATTGAAAAAGGTTGTTTAATTGTTTTTTTTTCACTTTGAATAATATTTCTGTTAATGTTAAAAACAAAATCAACTCTCTGTATAAATATATCAGATGACCGATAAGGCCCATGGGCCTCTTGTTTTTTCTATGAATCTTAAAATCAAATGGTGTTGTATGCTAAAAACTCTTCAGATGATAATATCATATCTTGGTGAAGTATGTCAACTAAAAGATTAGGGCACAAATATATCTCGTTCATCTTAATCACAACTATCAACTCGTTCATGTGAAGAACTTGGTAGCTGTGAGGGCCAATTACCCCTTATTAAATAGGTGATCAAACGTTCACCATATTAGTTAAGCCCAGCACTACAAGAAAAATAACATTCAAGAGTTTGTCATTTTTGTCTCGCCGCCACAAAGTAGCCGAAGCGAGACTAAGGTGTTCCTTTTACGGTGACGATGGCGGCATCAACATTAAGTTATTTCATTTAACTTAGTTTCACTGAACGTATAAGTGCTAGACCAACCAAACTTGGACCATCGATGCATGTTAGGTAGTACATTTCAACCTATGCATCAAATGCTGGATGCGGCCTACTTTTCATGATCCATTGACTTTGTCAGTATCTCCATCAAGATAAAGTTTTTGCGTTTAAGTTAGTTTCTCTGTAATGTGCATTGATGGTTAAAGAGGGGCACAGGCGAGTCATATCAATCCAAATGTCTTGTGTTATGATTGTTGATAAATTAGTCATGTTGATATCACTATGATAGAAACATTTTGTCTATTATTAGAAATTTATATTGTTAAGGTAATTATACGAAGAAAAAAAATCAATGCCGGAAAATCTGGATAACAAGTAGTGGCTTATTTCATTTTCAGTACAGAATCCTAGGCTTATTTTTGAAGCAGGCTTATTTTAAAGACAGTCTTATTGTCAAAAATATTTCGACATGAAGCAATCTATAGGTTATTTTCAAATAATTCTTTTCATATGGAGAAATTAATATTATACACTCAGGTTGTTTAATGATTTTTTTGTTAAATTGTTGCAATAATAAATCTTATGCAGTGAGATAAATATCTTTAAAATATGTTTCGGCCGACAGAGAGAATGTGCTCTTAACTGAAAGCAAATGCATATTTTCAAGTCGGGCCTATTTTCAAAGACGGTTTATTTTTTCGAGATGTTTTTGACTGCAATGAATCCAAGGCCTCTATTCAAGCTTATTATCATGATTTTAGGGTATATCTTTAAATCACATATTGCATATTCACTTTATTCCTGGTTGTTAATGATCAGGTACTAATTGTGATGGACATGTCAATTCTCAGGTTATTGTTGTATTGCTACTGCAATGATATGTGAATATGTGGAAAATATAATAATGCATTGGTTGTAAATATAGATACACTGTGTATGAAATGTGTATACTGTACTACGAGAAATTTTCGCTACCGTTATATCAAATAAATTTCAACACTGACCGATTATTTGTGCAATTACATATGTAGGCAACTTTTAAAATAACATAAAGGGAAATTTATCCTAGAGTAAATTTGTTTGAACTCATTCACCCCTGAAGACACATTTGAACTCTTCCAATTCAAAGGTTTGACTAGTCCATCATTTCAGGGTTGAAAGAGTTCAAAACATCAAGTGCAAAGTTTTGCATTTTGCAGTATATCACTTGTGTTTCCTACTCTAAACCAAAATTATAGTATTCCAGTGATCATGCCCTCAAAATGATTAGGAAATATTGTTATGGTCCTATAACACACATTATTAATGTCAAACTTAATTAAGTCTGGCAGCAATAGAAATGTGTGACAAATAGGACCATAACAATATTTGCTAAATTATTCATTATTTATATTTACATTTGGATTGAGTAGTTTTACACTTTATTTAGTTATTTCGAACAGTTAATTCTTTGAACAGCAAATCAAGTGTTGTCAAAATGAAATTCATGATGTCACAATAGAGATTGATGACGTTACAATAGCAAATGATGTTATAGTCTCACAACAACATTTGCCTTCTCAATGCATTGCAATGGAAGGATGCAGAGCAAATGTAAATATCTGATGATGGGGGACTGTTCAAATTGCCCTTGGTCCATCTCTCCGTTTAACCTTACCCAATTCTTGATTATGCTATATCTCAGGAAGTACAGGAGGGATATTTTTCATATTTCACAAGAAAATTCCCTATTGTCCATAGTTATGCTTGACAAATTTTGGGTGAGATTGGAAAAACTTATTCAGATGGCATCATGGGTGACAGGCAGCCATTTTGAATTTCGAGAGTTATAAGTTTGTTAGTGCTATTTCTCAGAAAGAACTGGCAAAATCTTTCTCAAATGTTTATTCAAAGTCCCCGTGCATGGTCCCTAGTTTGGTAGTTATTCATATACAATTTTGGATCTGATCAGAAAACGAAAACTACCGATGAGTGGCCATCTTGAATTTAACGGGTTACAGTGCTTGAGCATCCATTCTCAAAGAAAGTGTTTGAGGGATCTTTCTCGAATTTTTACACGATTATTCGCTATTGTCCCTAAATACGCGTATCAAATTTTTAGTATGATTGGAAAACCAAGTTTTACCAACAGGCAATACCTCAAATCTTGTCAGATTGATGAACCATCTTGTCACCAGTTACTGAGTTGTCTAGGGGTAATTTTCCCTTCGGCTCAATTGGTAGAATATTCTACTTTGAATCATTAGTCCTTTGTCCGAGTCCTTGAAGTTGTGGTCTTTGTCATACTGGTCACAATTAGGTTTGACCACAAGAAATGGTAATAATTTACCCTATGTTTGTAGTGGCCATCATCATCTACCCACAATATGTCACTTTACACTAAAAGTTTATCAAGTGTTTCTACTTTCTCTTAACTATGGAAAAGTGTTATGACTTACTGAATATACCTGTGCTACAATATTCTTTTTTGTTCATGTGATTTGTTTCTTACGACTGATTAACCATTGTCGTCTGTTGATTTTCTACATTACAAATAAACATATAAATTTTGTGAATTTCTTTTTCTGTTTTGAGCCTATTTTGATATAATTAGATACCAATGTTATATCTATATACAGTGCAACGTTTGTACAACAAACATTCTAACAAACTTTGGTGGAAAAATCTTTTAGAAAGGTGTGTCATTTGCTTGTCTGGATGTAATTGGGTTCTTGAATAGTGTCACTAACTTAGTCCGTTGTCACAGGGTCCTTGAATGTCATTACTGTCAATTATAAAGGGGTCCTAAGGAGTGTCATCGACTTTGTCTAGTTTAATGTGGTCCACATGTACCTTTCATTTTTTTAAGTGAAATCGGTCCTTGAGTGAAATTGACTCTTTCTGGTGTAATCGGTCAATGAGAAATGAAATTTCTTTAAATCTGTTTGGGTCGTTAAAGAATGTCATTAATTTTGTATCCCCCGCTTTCACCGAAACGGGGGATATTAATTTGGCTTTGTCCGTCTGTCTGTCTGTCATGCTATGTTTCTGTGCAATAACTGCAACAAATGTTAACCGATTTTCTTCAAACTTGGTAACAGGGTTAAATGCTTTAAGGGCTCGACCAAGTGCGATGATCACTTTCAGCGGACTTGATTTGGCGGTGTTATGGCCCCTTGAATAACGAAAAACGTCATTATCTAACGTTTCCGTGCAATAACTGTAACAAATGTTTACCAAATTTTCTTCAAACTTGGTTACCAGGATTAAATGCCTTAAGGGCTCGACCATGTTTGATGACCACTTTAATCGGACTTCATTTGGCAGAGTTGATTAAAGAAAAACATCATTATCTGCAGTTTCTGCTTAATAACTCTAGCAAATATTAGCCAAATTCCTTCAAACTTGATAACAATGTTTGTGTTCCTCTGTCTTTCCACCCGTTTCGGGAACTCTTTGGTTTTCGTGTGATAATTGCTGTAGATATTGTGCAGATATTTCAACCAAATTTAAATCTAACCTCAATAATGTTTACCTACAATATGTCATGCAAGTGGGTGATATAAATTCCACAAATTTTCTTGTTGTCCAGTGTAATTGGGTCAAACAATGTGTATCAAAGAAATAATTGTTAAACTTTTATGCACAAAATGAGTTCAAACACATTCTGATCAATCACAGCTTTAGTGACAAAATATTGTCATGAAGATTACATGAATTGTGGAGTCTGTTGTTACATGTAGTACATTTCCTTTAATTTGGTTTGTTAGTGTTTTACGTCCTATTAATAGCTATGGTCATTTAAGGACGTGCCAGGTTTTGGTGGTGGAGGAAAGCAGGAGTTCCGAGAGAAAATCCATAGACCTGCAGTCAGTACCTTGCAACTGCCCCACATAGGTCTTGAACCAGCGACCCAGTGGTGGAAGGCTAGGGGTACAGTAGCATTTCCTTTAAACTTGAATTTGAAGAATTAAACAGTGAAGACTAAAATCTGCTTGAACTACATACTTTATATTCAAAAAGGAAAAATGGTTATTACAAAAATATATGCATAAACCGAATACATTCGATTATAAAAGGTTATATAATTGTTACAAACAACACTTATTCATTATCTATATCATGATTAAGGATCCCTGTTCCACTACATTGTTTTTTTCACAAAAGTGATTATCTCCCCTTAACATCCGCTTGGATATAACTGTAGCATTGTTTGGCCTGGTCATTTCTGTTGACAAGGTAGGTAAATTGGTTCCAGCGACAGTATAACAATCGGAAGTCCAGGGTTCGAATCATGGCCTAGCCCTCTTAAATTCTACACTCAGAACACTGTTGTTAAATATCTTTTTGTTCATTTCATCTCTATTATTTCTCATAAATGTCCTGCAATGTAAAGTTTTCTTTTCTGAAATGATTTATCAAAGCTATAGTAATGATTGAAAAACGGTTTCCAAAACGTAGTTACAGTTTTTGGCAGTGGGTCAGGGATCCTTAAATAGAGGCGTTATTATAACAATAGAACATTTACAGTAATCTAGTTTTTCTATTAAACAAATAATCAAAACACACTGATTCAAGTAATAACAGCAAAGTAAATGTAAAGGGTACCAACAAGTTGAACTATACAATTACCATTTTCACTATTGTGACATATTTGTTGAGTCCTTTTCAAAGGAAGTGTTCCATAAAAATAACATGTTGCGACGCCTTTTATAATTTTTGGAAAGAAAAAAGAATGAAAAACTGCAGAGTAAAAGTCGATCCTTATATTGAATATCTGATGATTTACATATGGTGCGGGATAGGATTTATGAATGTACAGTATCAATAATCATACCTTTAAAATTTCAAGATTATCGGTTCCTGTGCTCAAAAAATAAAATAAAACATAATAAAATGTTTGTAAAATCCCCTGATGAAAACATAACACTTCAAAATGGCACACTTTCAGTTGTTCTGTTAAAAATCTGAGAATATACGAATAGTTTATACTAAATTTCACTGTTTTAAAATGTACGTTAGTTTGAGGATCCAAAACTGGGAGTCATCCTATAAAATAGGGAAAGTTGGCAAGTATAAATAGTGAATGTCCAATTTAGGGTCGACAAAACAATGAACATTGAAAGATAGCTAACCTGACAGGGGAAGTTACTCTTAGCCAGAAAAAAATTCCTTTTGGATGCTTCATCTTCTTAAAACAAAAGAAGAATGCACGAATGAATAACTCTCTTACGTTGCGGTTACATGTATAGTTAATACTTTGGTACCCTTTACGTTAAATGATTACAGCTAAAATTGGAATGTTTGTCCTGTTTGAACATATTTTATATTTTTAAATTGTTGGGGAACATGCACTACAGTCAAAAAATAGATTTTCATTCAATGGTGTTAATTAAATGATATTTCAATGATAATCATAATATCAACCATAACCAAAAAATATTTAAAAATGTTAACAAAAGTTAAGGATTTACCATATCTTTTCAGTGAGTTATGGAACATTGTTTTGTATTGTATTCTAACCAAATTTTTTGTATCAAGAAAACCCCTTTATCCAATTTTAGCAATGGACAATTTGATTGATACAGATAGCCTATTTTAGCAATAAACATTTTGATTGATGTGAGTAGGAAAATAATGAAATTATATATAAATAAGTATCAAAATTGATCCTAGCAATGTTAACAAACAAAAGCAGCTAATGGTATAAAGTAAGCCATTTCAGAGTGATCTAGGTGGAGTGCAACAAAACCACCCCAAACCCAGGACTATATTTATTGGTTTAGCGGAAGTCGTATAATCCAAAAAGATACAAAGTTTTGATGTTGTCCTTGAGTAGATAGTATTTTGTTTTCTTGCAACATAATATTCGATATTAATTTTGCAAATAACAATGATTATTTTGATTTTCTTTTATTCTTATGCACCAATCTTCACTTAATATGGAGAATGTGAAGTTTCATGCCATGGTATTTTATTGTCGTTGATATTGTCTATCTAGGGGAGGTAAATCTTTATCCAACCAAATTAGGGTCAGCAGCTTCTTATTATTCTGAATAAATACCTTCATTGGTATTTTATGTTGCTTTAAACAAAATATGAGAAACTACTCTGATGGAAAAAATGGCCCTGTGATAAATCTTGTTTAAAATCCAAATTTCTAAAAAAAAGTCTTTCATAAAATCACTCTTAATCTGGTCAGAAAGTTCATATTTGCAAACGTATGAATAAAATACAACTTAAAAAAGCAGTCAAAGTCTACAAAAATATAAAACAAACACAGAAAATGTTTCTGACACTTCCAAATTCACCGGCGCTGTTCTCTGTCAAAATTCTTTTGTGCTTCGTATAGCCAAGTAAAGCCTCGGGATACTTGTTCAAATGTCAATAAATCTCATCCATTTGCCATTTTGATCGAGATGAGCATGGCACCGGTTTGTCCACCCCTTCCGTCCATCTGTAAAGAAAATCAGTGTGTTGATAAGTATTTGAGATTTTAAACAAGGTATTGATATCTCCCTATACAAATATTCTAGCCCATGGATTTTAGCAACCTTTTTGAGAACTGCAAAAGCATCTCAAATCATTAAATATGCTGATAGCAAAATCAACTAAAGAAGTCCTGTTTATCTAGCTGAGTATATAAATTACATGTACAAGACATATTCATCCCATTCGTAAACACAATTTTATAGATAAAAGTAGTTATATAGCAAACATAAAAGGGAAGCAGCAGATTTTTTACCTTATCTTGGTTGGAGCAGAACAAAGGTTTGTGAATAAAACTGAGTGTCTAAAACTTCAAGTGACTTTCTGAAGAGCTGAAAGGTCCAGAGTTATATTTGGCTGGTAGCTTTTCGGGGTGGGGATTAATTATTTTGCAAAACAATTTTACATTTATATGATTTAAAATGACATCTTCTGAAGAACCCAAAACGTTAGGACATTTTGCTGAAAGATTCGTAAGAGAAAGCATAACAAAAATTGTGAACAACATATCATTGACTTACTTTCAATGTCACGGAGGTCAAATATGTCAAAAACTTTGAATGACTTCTTTTGAAGAACTAAAAGGCAAAGAGTCAGTATATTTAGCTGGTAGCTTTCTGATGTGGAGCCTTCCATAATTTTAGAATAGGAATAACATTGACCTAATTTCAAAGTCGCAAACGTCAAATATCTAAAAATGGCATCGTCTAAAGAACCAAAAACGTCTAGAGTCATGATATTTGCCTGGTAGCGTTCTGGGGTGGAGCTTAACTAATTCTGCAAACAAAAATAACTTTGTAGTATTTTTGAGGTCAGAGGGGGTCAAATATTAGAAAAATGTAAAACAAATCCTGAAGAATCCCTACACTTGATAAACGTGTAGGGTATTCGACAGGTTTTGAATTGAAATAATAAAAAAAAACAGGTGAGCTATCAAGGCCCATGGACCTCTTGTTTTCATTTATGAAAACACTACTAAGAGCTCTTTAGATTAATAATTATCATGTACACATATTACCTAAGAACCACCATTGTTGTTATTCAGCAGCATTTTCTACAAAAGAAAAAACTATCTAATACATTCAATTTCATTCATTGAAAAATTGATTTTGTAAGAAGTATGTGTATATATATATATAAAAAACATTACTAATTATACACGAGATATTAACTAAATATTACACCTTTTCATACACTGTGTCTATGTACAACTATGAAACAAGTTTATCAACTTATATTAATCACTCCTGTTGGCCTGAAGGTAAGCATGCGGGGATGTTAATGTGGCAGGAAACCAGAGTAACCGAAGAAAGCCCACATGGTCGGAGAGATGACCCCATATCTTTTCACCTCTGTTTGGGGATCGAATCCCGGCCGTTTTGGTGAAAGGCGATTGCGCTTTTCACTGCGCCACTCGAACATTTATTGTCATACAACTGAGATGCGGATTTAAATTGTCTTCAGAAACATATATTCAAAACATTAAAGTTGTAAAGAATATAAATGTATGAATTAAAAATGCATGCATGTTATTATTATTATCTTTATTTCCTCCAAATGAAGATTACAATACATTTCATATTAATAAAGACAAAATAATACAATAGCAAAATCAGAACAATGGATAATTACATACATGTCACAACAAGAAACCGCTAATGGCAATATGGCCGGATTGTTAGAGTAAATTTTCATGTTAAGCATCACATGTGATAAGCATCCTTTAAGATATACATGCAAGTGTAGTTGATGTAGGGTAAGTAGTTACTTGGTAATTGACCTAAACCAATCTTCTTTACCATAGTGCAGATGGGACCTGACCTGAACCAAACTTCTTAACCTGGTCACTGAAAGCGGAAAATGTAGGTCAGAACCACCATCAAATGCATCGCATGTGATAAGCATCCTTAGATACATAAGCCATGCACGTTTAGTTGATGTACAACAAGTAGTTACTTGGTAATTGACCTAAAACATCTTACCTCAAGTCTCTCCATCCGAGCCTGTTGAAAAAAGAATAATTTATCATTAATACTTATACGAAAGGTTTAATCAGGCTTTATTACTGATGCATTAACAATACACTGTTCTCTGTAGATGTTTCCTTTGCCATCAAACTGAACAAATCGAAATTGTTGTGAAACTAAAAGTTAACGCAGCTTTATTTCATATTCCCATAACACTTGCCTTTTATGAAGTCCTTTTGCATTTATAACAATGTGAGAGTGCATTGATTTCTTTTGGAGATAACATTCCTTGCAATGCCATTTACTTAAACTTTAGCACAGTAGTAACTGGTGCGGGTGTGTGTTAAAAAAATACGGGGAAAATCCGAAAACAAAATGGAAAATTTAATGGATTACATGCAAGAGTGATTATTGTCACAACGCGTTACAGCGCACGAGCTTTCAAACACAATAACATGCAATGGGAGGCAACGTCATACATACAAAGTCCGTGTGCTTCCCGCTTACGTCTAATGAGGTATGACAATGGTCAGTAATTACCAGAAATACAAAGAACGAAGCACCGTCAAAGGTTTAGTTTCTTGATGCAGAAAACCAAATAAAACAAATACTCGCAACAATACAATCTGCCCTATTCGTCCTTTTTGCATCAATCGGTGGTATTAGAAGGTGATAATGTGCGTTTTGTTATATTCTCTAACATGTAGCTAAATAAACGTGTTTTTATTTTATGAAGTTTTTTTTTTTTAGAAAGGTGACACATTTTATTTAACAAGTTAGTAGATTGGAGCAGCAAATATTCTGTAAGTTTTAAAATTGGGGTTTCATTAAAAAATATCTGTTTTTCTGATCATTCAATCGTTGCTTGAGTACGGAGTAAAAAAGCATTTGTTTTTAAATTTACTGAATCGATGTAGAAATCCAAAAAAATATTAATATTTATTCCATTATATGACGACATGGTCGTTTAGAACTCGATGGACCTATTACAGCGCAAATGAATGAAAAAAATCCGTGTCTTAATTGTTCCAAAACACATACACAAATAAAATGAAGGGAATGTGCCTACACAATGTTGCAAAGTTTGATTTTTTTTTACCAGAAATTATTTTTCGACTAGAACTTAATGTTAATGGTACAATTTTGATCACTTGCTTTTGAATTGTTTTTTGTTTGTGGCTAAATACAAAGTATGGCTATCTTTCATAATTGTACTGTTTTGAAAAGTTGGTATAAGCATATGTAAACTTTGTAAGAAAATAGATGGTGCAAAGGTGATTTTTTTATGATTAACCAAATAGACTACAGCTGAATATCGGTAGAAATATCCTTAGATAGAGAACAATCCGTTTTCATACGATAAAAATGTTTTGCACCAGGGGTTTCATTTTCCATACAATTTTACTAATCAAAATTGTGAAACTGTGTAGCATATACCCAACTATATTTGGATTCCTATGGCCCTTGTTTTTGATGAAGTTACCTGATGTATATTTCATTTATAGATGGGGACAGAAATAAGGCGCTTCCAGACACGTTTACAATGAAGTGGCAGCGCCATATATAGTGACAATAGCCAATAACTACTAGAAATACAAAGAACGAAGCATGTTTTTTTTTGTACGGCTATCTTTCATAATTGAATTGTTTTGAAAAATTGATAGATTCATACTGAGTTTTAAACTATTGCTTACCTTTTGTTTCTCCTGTTCTTTCTGTAAAAAATAGATGTTGCAAAGGTGAATTTTTGAAGGATTTACCTAAACAGACTAACACTGAATATCGGTAGTAATACAAGAGGCCTAGAGGGCCTGTATCGCTCCGCTGGAAATGAGATCCAAGGGAATATGCCAAACCCCAAGGCAAGTCCTTGTAGCATATCTGTATTAGATTTGTCATGCCCAGCAATGTTACATATGGTTATGGGGTGGGGATCTCAACTGTTTCCAAGCTGTGACTCAGAAACTAGACCCCTAGGGTTTTGGCTAGACCCTAGGATCAATTCTAATATCATGACTGCATTTGTCTCTTTTTGACCAGCATTTGTATATATAGTTTTGGGGTAGGGATCTCAACCCTTTCAAAGTTATGACCCAGGGGTTAAGTCTGCAAGGGTGGGGCAGACCCTGGGGTCAATTCTAATATCATGACTGCATTCGTCTCTTTGTGCCATGCAACAATTGTATATATAGTTTTGGGGTGGGGATCTTAACCATTTCGAAGTTATGACCCAGGGGTTAAGTATTCAAGGGTGTGGTAGTCCCCAAGGCCATTCTGGAAGCATATGTGCATTCATCTCTTTATACTCAGCAATCGTATATATGGTTATAGGGTGGTGATCTCAACTGTTTCCAAGCTGTGACTAAGAAACTAGGTCCCTAGGGGTTCGGTTAGACCCCAGGATCTATTCTTATATCATGACTGCATTCGTCTCTTTATCCCAAGCATTTGTATATTTAGTTTTGTGGTGAGGATCGCAACCGTTTTAAAGTTATGGCCCAGGGACTATGTCTCCAAGGGTGGGGCCAGACCCTAGAGCCATCCTGGAAGCAAATGTGCATTTTTCTCTTTATACTCAGCAATTGTATATATGGTTATATGGTGGGGATCTCAACCATTTCCAAGTAAACTTATTTTGGCCCCGCCCTTTAGGCCGGGGGGTCAGCCCCGCTATTTGTACAATATTTAATCCCTGCCTCCCATGAATGCTTCCGACCAAATATGATCGATATCCATGGCATATAGTTCTATAGAAGAAGTCGTTTATAGCAATATAGCCAAATTGCCCCGTTTTGGCCCCGCCATCAGCCCCCTGGGGGGTCAGCCCCACCACTTGTACAATTTTGAATCTCCACCACCTAGGGATGCTTCCAGTCAAATATGGTTGATATCCATCTCTTAATTCCAGAGAAGATGTCGCTTATAGCAATAAAGCCAAATAACCTTTTTTGGCCCCGCCCCTCAGCCCCACCATTTGTACAATTTTGAATCCCTGCCTCCCATGAATGCTTCTGATTAAATATGATTGATATCCAATACATAGTTCTACAAAGAAGTCGTTTGTAGCAATATAGCCAAATTGTCCCCACCTTTCAGCCCCCTGGGGGGTCAGCCCCACCATTTGTACAATTTTGAATCCCCCCCATCTAGGGATGCTTCCAGTCAAATATGGTTGATATCCATCTCTTAGTTCCAGAGAAGAAGTCGCTTAAAGCAATATTGCCAAATTGTCCCCACCTTTCAGCCCCCTGGGGGGTCAGCCCCACCATTTGTACAATTTTGAATCCCCACTACCTAATGATGCTTCCAGTCAAGTTAGTTAAATTTCAATCGGTGGTTAAGAAGAATAAGTCGTTTAAAGAAATTGTTGATGGACGAACGACGAACGCCACGGTAATGCATAAGCTCACGTTGGTCCTTCGGACCAGGTGAGCTAACAATACATGGATAAAGAACAATCAGTTTTCATATGATACAATTGTCTTGCAGGAGGGGCTTTCACTTTCTATACAATTTCACAAATCGTTTGTGGCTAAATACAAAGTATGGCTATCTTTCATAATTGTACTGTTTTGAAAAGTTGGTATAAGCATATGTAAACTTCGGTGTGTGATGCATACAGAGTTAACTATTGCCTACCTTTTGTTTCCCAGTTCTTTTTGTAAGAAAATAGATGTTGCAAAGGTAATATTTTTATGATTAACCAAATAGACTACAGCTGAATATCGGTAGAAATATCCTTAGATAAAGAACAATCCGTTTTCATACGATAAAAATGTTTTGCACCAGGGCTTTCATTTTCCATACAATTTTACTAATCGAAATTGTGAAACTGTGTGGCAGCGCCATATATAGTAACAATGGTCAATAACTACTAGAAATACAAAGAACGAAGCATGTTTTTTTCCCAAAGCACATGTATCATGTGCTGTATCATTTATTACTATTTTTGTGACAAAATACAATGTACGGCTATCTTTCATAATTGAATTGTTTTGAAAAGTTGATAGATTCATACTGAGTTTTAAACTATTGCTTACCTTTTGTTTCTCCTGTTCTTTCTGTAAAAAATAGATGTTGCAAAGGTGATTTTTTGAAGGATTTACCTAAACAGACTAAAGCTGAATATATCAGTAGTAATACAAGAGGCCCACAGGGCCTGTATCGCTCCCCTGGATATCTAAGCAATCATGGCAAAATATTCTCCAAATGAGATCCAAGGGAATATGCCAAACCCCAAGGCCAATCCTTGTAGCATATCTGTATTAGATTTTTCATGCCCAGCACTTTTACGTATGGCTTTGGGGTGGGGATCTCAACTGTTTCCAAGCTGCGACTCAGAAACTAGGTCCCAAGGGTTTTGCCTAATATCTAATATCATGACTGCATTTGTCTCTTTTTGACCAGCATTTGTATATATAGTTTTGGGGTGGGGATCTCAACCCTTTCAAAGTTATGACCCAGGGGTTAAGTCTGCAAGGGTGGGGCAGACCCTGGGGTCAATTCTAATATCATGACTGCATTCGTCTCTTTATGCCATGCAACAATTGTATATATAGTTTTGGGGTTGGGATCTTAACCATTTCGAAGTTATGACCCAGGGGTTAAGTATCCAAGGGTGGGGTAGTCCCCAAGGCCATCCTGGAAGCATATGTGCATTCATCTCTTTATACTCAGCAATTGTATATATGGTTATAGGGTGGTGATCTCAACTGTTTCCAAGCTGTGACTAAGAAACTAGGTCCCTAGGTGTTCGTCAGACCCTAGGGTCTATTCTAATATCATGACTGCATTCGTCTCTATATGCCCAGTATTTGTATATATAGTTTTGGGGTGGAGAGCTCAACCGTTTTAAAGTTATGGCCCAGGGACGGGTGGGGCCAGACCCTAGAGCCATCCTGGAAGCAAATGTGCATTCTTCTCTTTATACTCAGCAATTGTATATATGGTTATATGGTGAGGATCTCAACCATTTCCAAGTAAAAAACTTATTTTGGCCTCACCCCTTAGCCCGGGGGGTCAGCCCCGCTATTTGTACAATTTTGAATCCCTGCCTCCCATTAATGCTTCCGACCAAATATGATCGATATCCATGGCTTAGTTCCAGAGAAGATGTCGCTTAAAGCAATATAGCCAAATAACCATTTTTGGCCCAGCTCCTCAGCCCCCTGGGGGGTCAGCACTACCATTTGTACAATTTTGAATCCCTGCCTCCCATGAATGCTTTTGATTAAATATGATTGATATCCAGTGCGTAGTTCTACAGAATAAGTCGTTTGTAGCAATATAGCCAAATTGCCCCCTTTTGGCTCCGACATCAGCCCCCTGGGGGGTCAGCCCCACCATTTGTACAATTTTGAATCCCAACCACCTAGGGATGCTTCCAGTCAAATCTGGTTGATATCCAACTCTTAGTTCCAGAGAAGAAGTCGCTTAAAGCAATAAAGCCAAATTGCCCCCTTTTAGCCCCGCCCTTCAGCCCCCCGGGGGGCAGCCCTACCATTTGTACAATTTTGAATCCCCACCACCTAGTGATGCTTCCACTCAGATATGGTTGATATCCATCTATTAGTTCCAGAGAAGAAGTGGCTTAAAGCAATAAAGCCAAATTGCCCCCTTTTAGCCCCGCCTCTCAGCCCCCCGGGGGGTCAGCCCAACCATTTGTACAATTGTAAATCCCCACTACCTAGGGATGCTTCCAGTCAAATTTAGTTAAATTCCAATCAGTGGTTAAGAAGAAGAAGTCATTTAAAGAAATTGTTGACGGACGGACAACGGACGCCACGGTATGGCATAAGCTCACCTTGGTCCTTTGGACCTTTGGACCAGGTGAGCTAACAAAACATGGATAATGAACAATCAGTTTTCATATGATACAATTGTCTTGCAGGAGGGGCTTTCATTTTCTATACAATTTTACTAATCGAAATTGTGAAACTGTGTGGCAGCGCCATATATAGTGACAATGGTCAATAACTACTAGAAATACAAAGAATGAAGCACCGTTTAAAACTATAGTTTGTCGATTCAGAAAACGCAACAAAATAAATATCTGCTATTTACAGTCTAGCCTAGGCGTACATGTATGACTCATCGGCGGTATTAACTTGTGATAATTTACAACTCATTATAATGTCTTACCTTCAGCTCAGCGTTTACATTCTATAAAAAGATAAAACAGAAATGGTTAAAGAAATATTTGTAAGAAAAGAATAGATTATAATTACTTATTCTATTGATATTTGGTTTGAGTTAAATAGTTATTATTATTATAAGCGCTAATTAGTACAGGTCAAATGAAATAAATAAAAAAGCATGTTGTTTTTGTTCCGAACCACATGTATCATGTGCTGTGTCATTTATTCCTATTTTTGGAACAAAATGCAAAGTATGGCTATCATTATTTATAATACTGTGTTGAAAATAATTTAATATAAATCTTAACGTTGATGCGAGAGACATAATCGAGGTATACTATTACTTACCTCCAGGTTATCCATTCTCCGCTGTAAGGAAAATAGACATCATATTAAAATGGTGATTTTTTTAAGAGTTAACATTCAGTTTTCATATAAGCAATGCACTGTTTGTAGGTGGGCGTTCGATTACCTCCAATTGCACAAATCGTTTATATTTTGAAAATGTGTCGCATATACACAACCCAACGAATTACCCTTGTGTTATTGAAGTTATCTAGGTTGAGGGTACCCAAAATGGAAAGGAACACTTTTAATATATACACAGATACACAGATTTATTCTGACTGTAGGAAATTGTACAATTTCCTCTGCTGTCAGCTCAATTATAAAAGTAAAAATAGTACATATAGTTGGTTAAACATATTAATAACATGATTTCTGAGTCCATTACAGATAGCTGCACAGTTCCATAGAGACCAGATGTTCAATGATAAGTAATTATATTATATTATATATTATATTGTATTAAAGTTCAATCAATGACCATTAGTATGTGTGACTTCGATGGCTTCCATATGGTTATACACAAGTGGTTGGTTCTTCCAATGACGGTCAAGGCTATGTTCAAATGCTCGGACTGTTCGTGACATTACGACCTCCGATGGCAGACCATTCCATATATCTACGGTTCGGTGAAGGAATGAATGTTTCCGGATATTCAGGCAGGTTCTTTGTTTGAATAATTTGAGTTCGTGTCCTCTGGTGGTGGAAATATATATGATGCAGCATTTTCATTTCGCAATAAATGAATTGATATGTATTCTCGAAAAGATTTATATCGTTTATTGTGTTTAGAGCCAATTTTATCTACCAACCTCTTACACATTACTTAAAGGGACATCACGTGAAGAGCCATATTTTTTTAATGAATGTATGTATTGTATGCACTTTTTCCAAGTCTGTATTCAAACTTATTGAACAATAATTATTCATCATCAGAAGTTAATTGCACACTTGCCAATATTTAGAATTTAAATTTATTTAGCTTTAAACATATATTTGTTGCCAATAAATTTGAACAAGGGATGGGGCACAAGTTTTTACAATTTATCACAGCCTTCTCCCGTCATACATTTACAATTAAATGCCAACAATGATAATAGGCATAAACATAAAGTAGATATATATAAATATATATTGAATTTATTACCGGAATGTGACCGGTACAGATGGCACGGGGCTAAACACCCTCTCTCAACCATTGGACAAACCTTTCTGTAAAAAGGAATATTGACGAGACGAATATCCCTTTTCAAATGTTTACATTAAATGCATATATGCAATGACAAACTACACGCGTATAAAAAAGAGAAACGTTTGTGAATTTATTCATTACATTGTACAACTCAATGTCTTTGGCCATTTTTTTTTTCTATACCATGCATATAAATGTATGTATACTTTCACTGTCTCCATACTCTAACACTTAGTAAGTCATATTAGCCATCACACACAATGAACTGTATGGCAAAACCACTACGTGTACATGTACAATATGTGTCAGATATGGAAAGTGTTGAGATACTTGATAAATATTTTTTTATCAATACTTTACAGAGATTAAAGCATACTTGTAAATGGACCTTTTTTTATGTTGAGACAACTTTTCTTTAATCAGTTCCTTTCGTCCGAAACAGAAGCCGTAGTTATCGGCAGCACGCGCCATTTTTACAACGTAATAAAATATTTTTCCCCCTGTTTTTCAATTCGTATTCCGATTCTACCTGAAGTCGAAAATTAATTCTTTATAGAGAAAAGGTTGTTACATGATCATACATTCTAAGTCAAAATCATATGAAAACAAGAACTGTTGAAAAATTACGATTTAAAAACAAATATTATGCGATCCTATTTACTAGAAGTAGGTTCTCCTTCCTCAGTTATTCATCCTGGTCCGTCATTTTGACATTTTTAATCTAGCTTTCTGACGAAGAGCGATTTTTTTTTTATATATTGTGTCGTCGCGCCAGAGGAGGCCGGGTATTCATATTAGTACTAATTTAAATCTTGCATGTCAAAAAAAAAAAAAAAAGTTTAATTCAGCAATATAATTAATCATACCATTTTACTGATCCCGGTAATCTTATAAATTATGTAAATCTAATAGCGCACGTATCCCATTTGACCCCGAGTACCGACAGAGGACAGAACAGAATACGCCGTGGCCATCACAACAATTGTCCCTTGGAGGGCCTCATGGCAAAATCAAACTAACCAGTCACTTATCCCTTAATTCCTTTCGCATAAACCACTGTATAATTATAGAAACACAAAGTAAACTCTCTCCGATACATGCCCATTAACATATTACAACTAAGTTCATCTGTGTTCAAACTCACACAATGATACTACTACTAGCGAGGTTAATAGTTTTAGATATTTATTCATAACATAAACAGCGCTAGCATTTCTGTCGATTTCATTTCAGCTTTACCGGCAATCCGGAAGAATACATGCACCGTACTAACTGCTAGGGCAGTTATTTTCTGCTTTGAATACTTCCCACTGGCAATAATGATTCCGTAACGTACCCCTTGCGCTATCTTTTGACCATTTGGCAACTTTTCGCTTCGTAGCTGACACGGTACAACACTTTTCTTTCGCTTACTTCACACGGCCAGTCATTTTGTTTACAAAGAAATGGTGTGCTATGCGCATGCGCTAGTAGAGGGAAATCCCTGAACAAAACGTTGGTCAGACAGGTAGAAATACCGATGATTATCTTAGATTTTATCATTTTTATGAATCTATTTCAGCCAAGCCCGATCGTTATTTTCCATAAGGAGTCTCACTTGATATGTTTATGTAGTATTTGAAATAAAAGACAAAAAAAAAAGTTACTTCAGTGTGATGCCCCTTTAATCATTAACTCAATTAAAATATTTAAATATGTACATGTAATGAAAAAAATCCTGATAAACGGAATGGTGGGGCAACATAAATATCGTATCATATTTCTAAACATGCAAAAAACTATATGTTCAAATAAAGATTTAAGGGAATGCATTACTAAAATTTGTCATAAATTGTATTATTAAATTATAATTTATTTTCATAAACCGACTTGTATGATGAAATGTTCAACTTCAGGTACTTGATCAGCTTTAAATTACAAATGAATCTGACTCGCGATAATGAGCTCTATAAATAGATACACGTGCTATTGTTACCCAAGAAATACATAAAACAAAGGCTTAATGCATGTATTGTTTCATTTCAGGAAAAAAAAATGGTGTTTCAGAAACTTGGAAAGGAAATATTAATATTTTTCTTTACAAGGTGTTCCATTTTGGGTACGCTCACCCTATGCCTCTTGTGTTAATAGACCGGAATGCAGCAACAAAAGAGCTTCCAAGTGGCCACTTTTCGAAGTGGCAGCCTCATATATAGAAATTATAGTCAATAAATACTAGAAATATATACAACGAAGCAACGTTTAAAATTTAAGTTTGTCAAAGCTGGAGAACCAAACAAAGTAAATATTTGTTATTGTACAATCTCGAGTATCCTTCCATTTATGACTCATCTACATTTATTTATATTCTGTTAGGTTCATCTTGATGTTTACATTCTATAAAGAGATAAATAAAAATACGTTTAAAAAGTATTAACAAGAGGCCCAGGGGGCTTAATAGCTCACCTGGTATATTATTTTTCAATTTGAAACCTGCTGGGTACCATACAGGTTTATCAAAGGAGTACAATAAACAAAGTTGCAAGAAGAACTACATATATATCTGTTTTGGTGAGAAAGACACCAAGAAAATGAGTTTCCATGTTATGTCCCAGCTTTCCTCTATTTCCCCTATTGGGCCTTACATGCATCTTTTTATACAAATTAAACAAATTGAGTTTTTCCCCCTAAGCATGCTTCAGACCACTTTTGGTTTAAATCCCTTCATTTGTACAGAAGGAAGGGGGTGGGGGTGCACATCTTCCATTTATAAATATTAAATTCCCTTTGCCAGAAGATTCTCTAGAACAAGTTTGATTAAAATCCCTTAAACGGTTTATACAAAATTGATTCTTTTGTCCCTAAGCATGCTTCAGACTGCATTTGGTTAAAATCCCTTCACTTGTATAGTAGGAGGAAAAAAAGGCCACACCCTCTAATTATACAAACTTGAGGCTCCTTTGTCCAAAGATGCTCTAGAAAAAATGAAGTCAAAATCCTAGCTTCTATTGGTTGAGAAGATTTTTAAAGATTTACCTATTTGGCCCCACCCCTCTGCCTCTGGGGGGCCATACCCTCTGTTTATACAAAACTGAGAACCCTTTGGCCAATGATATTCCAGACCAAATTTGGTCAAAATCCCTTCATTGGTACAAAAGGAGAAGGATATTTAATGTTTTCCTATATTTCCCCGAATGGGCCTCACCATTCGCCTTAAAGAAGGGGACCCACACACCTCAGTTTATAGAAAATCGATTATTTTGTTCCTAAGCATGCCTCAGACTGCATTTGGTTTAAATCCCTTCACTTGTTTAGTAGGAGAAAAAAATCCTCTATTTCCCCTATTGGGCCCCGCCCTTCCGTCCCCCAGAGGGGCCACACCCTCCATTTATACAAACTTGAGGCTCCTTTGTCCAAAGATGCTCTAGAACAAATTTGGTCAAACTCTTTTTGTTGGTTGAGAAGAAGTAGATTTTTAAAGATTTACCTATTTTCCCCCTATTTGGCCCCGCCCCCCTGCCCCAGGGGGACCATACCCTCCGTTTATACAAAACTCATTGGCCAATGATGCTCCAAATCAAATTTGGTCAAAATCCGAAGCGATTAAGGACTAGAAGCGTTTTAAAGGAAAAAGTTGACGGACGCTGGACGCTGCGACATGGCATAAGCTAACTTGGTCCTTCGGGCCAGGTGAGCTAAAAAGTAGTTATTTAAAACAGTATAATTCTATTGAATTTGAAATTAGGTTTGAGTTATAGAGATGTTATTCCGGATCATCATCGCCATACATAAATGTTAGTATATTTGGTTTTGGAAATATAAGGTTCACTTCAAACAATGAATATGTCACTTGATTTACAAAATAATTTGGGGGTTGAAATACGGAGAAAGGAAGCGTTTGTATCAAATTTACTGAGTCGATGCAGATGGATGAAAAATCATTGTCTTTAATTTTCCGAAACAACATACACACATACAACAAAAGGGAAAGAACTGATCAATTGTTAAAACAAATAATTTTGTTCTAACAAAAAAGATTTTTAGACTGGAACTTGATGTTCATGTTGCTTTACTGATCACATGTTTTTCACATTTATTCCCTTTTTGAGAGAAAATTCAAAGAACAGTAGTTCTCTTTCATGATTATTCTAAAAAAAAAAGTTATAAAAGTAAATGCAGTGTCCGATACATACTAAGTTAAGTAATGCTTACCTTTTGTATCTCCTGTTCTTTCTGTAAGAAAATAGATGTTGCAAAGGTGAATTACATATTGAAGTTTAACCGAAGCAGTCTAAAGCTGCATATCAGTAGAAACAAGCATACTGATTATTGCTAAAGCAATAAATGTTCCTTACCAACCCCCGCTAGCTATTACACTGTAATGATTTATAACAAGAGGCCCAGAGGGCCTGTATCGCTCACCTGAATGTGTTTAAAATAATTGGTATGAAGTAAAGATATAGCACTCAATGGTAGTTGCTGTAAGTACATATGAAATTTCAGAAAGATCCATCCACTACTTGAGATATAGCGAGAACAAACTTCAAACAGAGCCCCATCCCTATGCCCCTAGGGGGTCATACCCACTGTTTATACAAAATTAAGTCCCCTTGGTCCAAGGATGCTCCAGACTAAATAAGGATAAAATCCCTTAATCCCGATGATCGAAGAAGAATTTTAAAGGTTTTACCTCTATTACTCCTATTGGGCTCCGCCCTTCTACCCCCTGGGAGACCACACTCACTGCTTATACAAAATTGAGTTCCCTTGGCCCAATGATGCTCCAGACTAAATTAGGATAAAATCCCTTAATCCCTATGGCAGAAGAAGGATTTTAAAGGGTTTACCTCTGATTCCCCTATTTGGCCCCGCCTCTCTGCCTCCAGGGGGGTTAGACACACCGTTTATACAAAATTGGTTCCCCTTCACCCAAGGATGCTTCATACCAAATTTGGACAAAATCCTGTCATTCGTAGAGAAGAAGGTATTTGCATAATTTGCTATGTTTCCCCTATTGGGCCCTGCCCCTCAGGCCCCTGGGGGGACCAGACCCACGGTGTATTAAAGATTGCTTCCCCTTCCCCCAAGGATGCTTCAGACCAAATATGGAACAAATCCTTTCATTCCTACAGAAGAAGAAGGATTTTAAAGAATTCTATATATTTCCCCTATTGGGCCCCGCCCCTCTTGCTTCCAAATTTGGACAAATCCTGTCATTCGTACAGAAGAAGAAGGTATTTGAATAATTTGCTATGTTTCCCCTATTGGGCCACTCGCTTCTGCCCCTAGGGGGACCACACTCGCTGTTTATACAAAATTTAGTCCCTTTTGCCCAAGGATACTTCAGACTAAATTAAGACAGGAGGCCCAGGGATCTTTATAGCTCACCTGGTATTTTAGTTTTTAATTTAAAACCTGCTGAGTACCATACAGGTTTATCAAAGGAGTACAAGAAACAAAGTTGCAAGAGGAACTATATATAAATCTGTTTTGGTGGGAAAGACACCAAGAAAATGAGTTTCCATGTTATGTCTGCACATCTGCCATTTATAAATATCAAATTCTCTTTGCCCAAAAATTCTCTAGAACAAGTTTGGTTAAAATCCCTTCAACGGTACAGAAGGAGAAGGATCTTCTGGGGGCCAGACCCACGGTTTATATAAAATTAGTTCCACTTCACCCAAGGATGCTTCAGACCAAGAATGTTTTCCTCTATTTCCCCTAATAGGACACCCATCTGCCCCAAAGAAGGGTCCACTCACCTCAGTTTATACAAAATTGATTCATTTGCCCCTAAGCATGCTTCAGACTGCATTTGGTTTTAATCCCTTCACTTGTATATTGGGCCCCGCCCCTATACCCCCATAGGGGCTACAACCTCTGTTCATACAAAATTGAGGCTCCTTTGTCCAAAGATGCTCTAGAACTAATTCTGTCAAAATCCTTCTATTGGTTGAGAAGAAGATTTTTGAAAGATTTACCTATTTTCCCCCTATTTGGCCCCGCATCTCTGCCTCCAGGGGGACCATACCCTCCGTTCATACAAAACCGAGAACCCTTCGTCCAATGATGCTCCAGACAAAATTTGGTCAAAATCCTCTGAGCTGTTAAGGCCACTAGTAGCGTTATAAAGGAAAAAGTTGACGGACGCTGCACCGTGGCATAAGCTCACTTGGCCCTTCGGGCCAGGTGAGCTAATAAAGTCCCTTAATCCTCCCTATGGTAGAAGAAGGATTTTAAAGGTTTTACCTCTATTTCCCCTATTGGGCCCTGTCCCTCTGCCCCCTGACGGGTCAGACACACGGTTTATACAAAATTAGTTCCCCTTCACCCAAGGATGCTTCAGACCAAATATGGAATACATCCTTTTATTCCTACAAAAGAAGAAGGATTTTAAAGAATTTGCTATATTTCCTCTATTGGGCCCCGGCCCCCAGCCCCCAGGGGGGCCAGACCCTTCATTGATACAAAATTAGGATAAAATCCCTTAATCCCTACGGTAGAAGAAGGATTTTAAAGGTTTAATCTCTATTTCCCCTATTGATCCCCGCCCCTCTGCCCCCAGGGAGGCCACACCCACCGTTTTTACAAAATTGAGCCCCCTTGGCCTAAGGATGCTCCAGACCAAGTATCGTCAAAATCTACTTGGCCGTTTAGGACTAGTAGCATTTTAAAGAAAGACGGACGACGGACGCTGCGGTATGGCATAATCTCACCATGGTCCCTCGGACCAGGTGAGCTAAAAATCTTCGACTCAAATGATCCGAACCACATACAAAAATACAGGTATTTTATACACTATAAATTGTTGTAAGGTTTAAACTTTGTTCTAACAGAAACAATTTCTTTATAGGAAATTGATGTAAATGCTACCTAATTGAGAATGTGTATTTGACATTAATTTTAACTTTTGCAAAGATATTCAATGTAAGGTAGTTCTCTTTCATAATCATTTTCTTACAAGACGTTGAAAGGAAAGTAAATCTTTGTAACGTCGGTGTGAGAGGCATACTGATTAAACTATTGCTTACCTTTTGTTCCTCTCTTTCCTTCTGTAAGAAAATAGATGTTGCATTTTTAAGGATTTACTTAAACAGTCGAAAGCTGAATATCTGAATAAATGACCATTTAAAATTGCTGCCTTTACTTGTCTTTAATAAAGTAACGTTATTCCAGTTGTTTTTTTAAATTATTCTGGATCGTCATAAACATACATATATACATATAGTTTAGTATCATTTGGAACTCATACTAATAGGTTTACCATCAAATCATGAATATGTCATTTGAATTACAAAATAAGACTCCGCTTGAAGTATGGAGAAAGGAAGAATTTGTTACAAAACATTTACTAAGTTGAAGCAGAAAGTCAAAACTTGTCAAAATTTACTCCATCATATGACAACATTGTCGTTTAGAACTCGATGGAGCTATTTAAGGGCAAAAGAATAAAAAATCTGTCTTAATTGTTCCAAACCACAAACACAATTACAACTTAAAGGAAAGTATTTATGAAATGTTGCAAAGTTTTTATTTTGTTTCAACAGAAATGATTTTTAGACAGGAACTAATTGTAAATGCTACTTTATTGATAATGTCCTTTTGGTATTTATTTCTATTTTTGTGTTAAAATTTAAAATATATTTCTCTTTCTTAGTCATTCTTTAAAAAAATGTTAATATAAAAGTTAAAGTCGGTGTTAGAGACATACTGAAGTCTAAAAGTATTGCTTACCTTTTGTTCTTCCTCTCTTTTCTGTAAGAAAATAGATGTTGGACAGGTGAAGTTTTTAGAGGGATTTATCAAAATAGAGTTAAGCTGAATATCAGCATTTAATACATTCCATAGTTAACCAACAATCTGTTTTCTTAAGGACTCATCGGTGGTATGAAAGGGTGATAATATACAATTCATCATACGTGTATTATATCAGCTTGATATCAGTGTGTCTTTCTATGAAATGATCAATAAAAACTGGTAGATAAATATAGTATAAATGAGTAGAAAAGAACAACATATTTGGTTGATTTTGAAATTTGGTTTGATTTAAATAGATATTATTCTGACCATATATAAATAAACATATAGTTTAGCATGTTTGGAACTGGTTACAATAAATTTACCTTTAAACCATGAATATGCCATTTGATTTACGAAAGTAATCGCCGAATGAAATAGGAGAGAGAAAAGTCATTTGTTTGAAAAGTTATTGAAAAGATGCATAAAGCCAATGTATGCTAACATATACTCCATCATATTGACAACATCGTTCATTTAAACTCAATGGAACTTTTAAAGGGCAAGCAAATGAAAAAAATCTGTGACTTAAATGATCCGAACCACATACAAAAGTACAAGTATTGGGAATGTGCCTATAAATTGTTGTAAAGTTTAGCAAAACAGTCGAAAGCTGAATATCAGTAGAAATGACGCTCAATATTTGAAGAAAATTCCTTTGTCATATTAGCATTTCATTGTTTGCAGTAGGGTGCATATTTTCCGTACAATTTCACAAATTGTTACTGTTCTGAAACTGTTTAACATATACACAACTGTATTTGCCGTTACCCTTTACCCTTGTCATTTTTTAAGTTACCATATTCCTTTATCAAGCTACAATTTAAAATTGCTGCCTTTACCCTTGTCTGTAATGAAGTAACGTTATTCCAGTTTTTTGTTTTAGTTATTCTGGATCGTCATAATCATACATATATTTTAGTATTATTTGAAACTCGTACTACCGTAATAGGTTTTCCTCCAAACCATGAATATGTCATTACAAAATAAGACTTCGCTGGAAGTATGGAGAAAGGAATAATTTGTTACAAAACATTTACTGAGTTGATGCAGAAAGTCATTTTTTTTTAAATTGACTCCATCATATAACAACACTGTCGTTTATAACTCCATGGAGCTATCTAAGGGCAAACAAATACAAAATCTGTGTCTTAATTCTTCCAAACCAAATACACAAATACAACTAAAAGGAAGGTACAACAGAATCATGTCCTTTTGGTATTTATCAAATTTTTGTGACAAAATCTGAATATGTTTCTCCTCTTAGTTTTTCTTTAAAAAATATATTGATATAAAAGTAAACGTCGATGTGAGAAACATACTGAAGTTCTAAAAGTATTGCTTACCTTTTTTTCTTCCTCTAGTTTCTGTAAGAAAATAGATGTTGCATAGGTGAACTTTTTAGAGGGATTTATCGAAACAGCTAGACTGAAGCTGAATATCAGTATTTAATAAATTCCATAGTTAACCAACAATCTTTTTAAGGACTCATCGGTGGTATGAAAGGGTGATAATATACCATTCATTATATGTGTATCATATCAGCTTGATATCAGTGTTTTCATTCTATAAAATGATCAATAAAAACTGGTAGATAAATATAGCATAAATGAGTAGATTAGAACAACTCATTTAAATGATTTTGAAATTTGGTTTGATTTAAACAGATATTATTCTGACCATATATAAACATACATATAGTTTAATATACCCTCAAACCACAAATACGAAAGTAATCGCCAGATGAAATAGGAGAAAGGAAACATTTGTTTGAAAATTGATTGAGACGATGCATAAAGCCAATTACTGTTAACATATACTCTATCATATTGACAACATCATTTTGAGCTCAATGGAGCGATTAAAGTGCCTAAACTATTTGTTTTTTAAAATTGTATATTGTCGATGCAGAGAAACCAAACAATGTAAATATAAGTAACTTTTCAGTCTGGCCTTTTCGTCCATTAAGGACTCAACGGTGGTACTTAATGGCGCTTAATTCCTCATATTCTATTAGATTCATATCAGTCTTTTTCTATCAATATAGAGATAAATAAAATTGATTAACTTATGTTTTTAAGAAAGAATGTGAAGGTTAGTATTGTAACTATCCTATGGATTTTGTATTTTGGTTTGAGATAAGTATCATTCTAGATCATCACAAATAAATATAAAGTTAAGTATATTTGGAACTGGTAAAAATAGGTTTTCCATCAAACCATGAATGCGCTATTCCATTTTCAAAACTAATCGCCGCCTGAAATACGGATTAATGAAGTACTTGTTTAAAATTTAGGCGAATCAATGTAGAAATAGAAATGTTGTTTATATTTTCTCCACTGTATCCATTTTTTTCTACAACAATGTAAAAAAAAATAGTACTCAATATATATGCTACTTGATTGGTATTGTGTTTTTGACAATATCTACTAATTAAGCGACGAAATACAAAGTACACGTATAACTAAACTTTAAAGTGAGAGAAATATTTGTGGTATACTAATACTTACTTCCAGTAGATCCTTTATCATGCACTGTAACGAAAATATACTTTATATTACAATGGGTATTGTGTAAAGTTAACAATAAGTTTTCATATAAGCTATGTACTGTTTGTAGTAGTGCAATCGATAACCATCAATTGCATAAATCGTAATTGTTGTGAAACACGTGCCTTTGGGATAAATTTCTATTTTTGTGACAAAATTCAAAGTACAGTAGTTCTCTTTCATAATTATTCTCTTAAGAAAAGTTGTTACAAAAGGAAACGTCGGTGTGAGAGGCATACTGAGTAAACTATTGCTTACCTTTAGTTCCTCCTTTTCGTTCTGTAAGAAAACAGATGTTGCATAGGTAAATTTTGAAGACTAAAGATGAACATCAGTTCCAGTTTTCATATGAGCAATGCATTGTTTGCAGCAAGGTTTTCATTTTACATACAATTTCATAAATCGTAATTTGTATGAAACTGATCAGCATATACACAACTGTATTTGCGATCCCTTTACTCTTGTCTTTTATAAAGTTGCATAACTCCTTTTAAAACTTTACCATTTGAAAATTGTGGTTTGTCGATGCAGAAATTTACAGTCTGGCCTATTCGCCCATTAAGGACTCATCGGTGATATTTAATGGCGCTAATATAAAATTCTTTATATTCTATTTGCTTTATATCACTGGTTTTCTTTCAATGAAGAAATAAATAAAACTTGTAAACAAACATTTAAAAAAACATGTGAAGATAAAAGTTGTAACCATCCTATGGATTTTGTATTTTGGTTGGAGATAAATAACTACTCTTCTGGATCTTCCTAAACATACGTATAGTAAAGTATATTTAGAACTGGTAATAATAGTTTTCCATTAAACCATGAATGTGCCATTAACTTGCAAAATTAATCACCGCCTGAAATGAAGAGTAAAGAAGTACTTGTGTGAAAAATTAAGCAAAGCGATGTAGAAATAGAAATAATGTTTATATTTTCTACAACGTATCCATCTTTTTTTTCTTAGAAAATGTAACGTTTTATTATTTTTTCTACAACAAAGATTTATTAAAATAGTACTCCATCTACATGTACATGGTACTTAATTGATTTTGTGTGTTTGAAAATAATCACTAATTTAGTGACGAAATATAAAGTATAGCTCTTTTCCATAATGATGCTGTTTTGAGAATTCGATATAAAGCTATACTTTCATGTGGAAGATATATTTGTGGTATTCAATTACTTACCTCCAGTTCATCTATTCTCCGCTGTAAGGAAAATAGACTTCATGTTACAATGGTGATTGTTTAAAAGGTAACATTCAGTTTTCAATGCACTATTTGTAGTAGGGCGTTGGATTACCATCAAAATGCACAAATCGTAATTATTGTAAAACATGTGATTTAGAGATAAATTTCTAATTTGTGTCATAATTCAAAGTATAGTAGTTTTCTTTTATAATTATTCTCTTAAGAAAGGTTGTTCTAACAAGAGGCCCAATGGGCCTGCATCTCTCACCTGGTCTAAATCTCACACTTGTAACCTTAAACGTGATCTAAAATAACGCTACAGGCAAAATATCAGTATTTATGACTATAAGTCATTCAAAAGAACCTGTTAAAACCATTTCACTCCTGTGACCTTAAAAGTCCAATAAGGTGATTACGTTGAACAGAATTTATAGCACTTCATCTCAGGATGCAACTTGCAAAATATCACCACCCTATCCTTTTGTTTATTAAGATAAGGTCATTTAAATGTTTACACATATTTGACCAAATGTCACCTTGAAAGTGGGTCAAGGTTATTCAAATTAAAAAGCATGATAGTCCTTCATCCAAGCATGCTACTTGCTGAATATTAACATCCTGCACCTTTTGGTTATTCAGAAGAAGTTGTTTAAAGTTTTTTTTAGACATTTGGCCCCTGTGACCTTAACAAACTTGGTAGCCCTTCATTCTAGCATGTTACTGGCTAAACATCTACACCCTGTGTCTTTTAGTTATTCAGAAGATGTCATTTAAAGATTTTAAACATATTTGACCCCTGTGACCTTGAATATAATTCAAAGTCATTCATTTGAACAAACTTGGAAGCCCTTTCCACAGCATGCTACTGGCCAAATATCAACATCCTGTGCTTTTTGGTTTTTCAGAAGAAGTTGTTTAAAGGTTTTGAACATATTCGATCCCTTTGACTTTCAATATAAGTCAAGGTCATTCATCTAAACAAAGTGAATAGCCCTTTATCCCAGCATGCTACTGACCAAATATCAACATCTTGGGCATTTTGGTTATTCAGAAGAAGTTGTTTTAAAGATTTTGATCATATTCGATCCCTGTGACCTTAAATAAACGTCAAGATCATTCATTTGAACAATCTTGGTAGCCCTTCATCTCATCATGTTATTGGCCAAATATCATCATCCTGCACCTTTTGGTTATTCAGAAGAAGTTGTTTAAACATATTTGACCCCTGTGACCTTGAATATGAGTGAAGGTCATTCATTTGAACAAACTTGGTAGCGCATCATCCTAGCATGCTACTGGCAAAATATCAACATCCCAGGCTGTTTTGTTGTTCAGAAGAAGTCGGTTAAATATTTTGAACATATTTGATCCCTGTGACCTTGAATAAATGTCAAGGTCATTCATTTGAACAAACTTGGTAGCCATTCATCCCATCATGTTATGGGCCAAATATCATCATCCTGTGCTTTTTGGTTTTTCATAAGATGTTTAAAGGTTTCAAACATATTTGACCCCTGTGACTTTCAATATAAATCAAAGTCATTCATCTTAACAAAGTAAGTAACCCTTTATCACAGCATGCTACTGACCAAATATAAACATCCTGGGCATTTTGGTTATTAAGAGGAGGTCGTTTAAAGATTTTAAACATATTTGACCCCTGTGACCTTGAATATAATTCAAGGTAATTCATTTAAACAAACTTGGTAGCCCTTTATCTCATAATGTTATGGGCCAAATATCATCATCCTGCACCTTTTGGTTAATCAGAAGAAGTTGTTTAAAAGTTTGAAACATATTTGACCCCTGTGACCTTCAATATAAGTCAATGTTATTCATTTAGAAAAGCTTTGTAGCCCTTCATCCCAGTCTGCTACTGACCAAATAGCAATATCCTGGGCATTTTAGTTATTCAGAAGAAGTTGTTTAAAGGGATTTTAAGACATTTGACCCCTGTGACCTTGAATATGAGTGATGGCCATTCATTTAAACAAACTTGGTAGCCCTTTATCCCAGCATAATACTGGCCAAATATCATCACCTTGGGCCTTGCGGTATAAGAAGAAGTTGTTTGAAGTAAAATATTGACGCCTGACGCCAGACAACGGACGGACGCCGGACGCCGCACCATGGCATAAGCTCACTTGGCCCTTCGGGCCAGGTGAGCTAAAAAGGAAACGTCGGTGTGAGAGACATACTGAGTAAACTATTGCTTACCTTTTGTTCCTCTCTTTCCTTCTGTAAGAAAATAGATGTTGCATAGGTGATTTATTTAGAGGGATTTATCTCAACAGTCTAAAGCTTAATATGAGTATAGATAACACTTCATAGTTAAAGTACAATCAGTGTTCATATGAGCAATATAGTGTTTGTAGTAGGGCGTTTACTTACCAAACAATTTCACAAATCGGAAATGTTGTGACACTGTGTAGCATAAACACAACTATATTTGCCTTTAGCTTTGTCTTTTATGAAGTAACCTTATTCCTAGTGTATTTTAACATAGTAGTCACAGAATGGCATTGCTATCATAGTCCGTGTTATATATCATACACAGAACAATCACAGATTACATGAATATAATTTTCAACTATATCACCATTACATTCACCATTAAACATTCGGCAATGTTTCTCTGCCAAGCGGATATTCATATATTAGTACGTCATCTACGTAAAAGTAGAGATGGGATGCATCAGGTTTTATTGATATGACATGATATTTAATGGGGCCAATATAAACTTCCTCATATTCTATTTGCTTTATATTAGTGGTTTTCTTTCAATTAAGAGATAAATAAAACTGGTAAACAATTTATTTATTTCAAAAACCGAGAAGATAAAAATTATAACTATCCTATGGATTTTGTATTTTGTTTGGAGATAAATAACTATTGCTCTGGATCTTCATAAACATACGTATAGCAAAGTATATTTGGAACTGGTAATTATAGTTATCCATTAAACCATGAATGTGCCATTTAATTTGTAAAATAAATCACCGCCTGAAATGAAGAGTAAAGAAGTACTTGTGTGAAAAATTAAGCAAAGCGATGTTATAACAGAATTGTGTTTATATTTTCTACAACGAATCCATCTTTTTTTTTAGAAAATGTAACAATGTTTTATTATTTTTTTCTACAACAAAGATTTATTAAAATAGTACTCCATCTACATGTACATGGTACTTGATTGATTTTGTGTGTTTGAAAATAATCACTAATTTAGTGACGAAATACAAAGTATGGCTCTTTTCCGTAATGATGCTGTTTTGAGAATTTGATATAAAGCTAAACTTTCATGTGGGAGATATATCTGTGTTATTCAATTACTTACCTCCAGTTCTTTTAGTCTCCGCCGTAAGGAAAATAGACTTAATGTTACAATAGTGATTGTTTAAATGTTAACATTCAGTTTTCTTATAAACAATGCACTATTTGTAGTATAGCATTGGATTACCATCCAAAAACATAAATCGTAATTATTGTAAAACATGTGATTTGGAGATAAATTTCTAATTTTCTGACAAAATTCAAAATATAGTAGTTCTACTCTTTCATAATTATTCTCTTAAGAAGAGTTGTTATAAAAGGAAACGTCGGTGTGAGAGGCATATACTGAGTAAACTATTGCTTACCTTGTCTTTCTCTCTTTCCTTCTGTAAGAAAATAGATGTTGCATAGGTGATTTTTTAGAGGGATATATTTCAACAGTCTTAAGCTTAATATCAGTATAGATAACACTTCATAGTTAAAGTACAATCAGTGTTCATATGAGCAATATAGTGTTTGCAGTAGGGCGTTTACTTACCAAACAGTTTCACAAATCGGAAATGTTGTGACACTGTGTAGCATAAACACAACTATATTTGCCTTTGGCTTTGTCTTTTATGAAGTAACCTTATTCCTATTGTATTTTAACATAGTAGTCACAGAATGACATTGCTATCATAGTCCGTGTTATATATCATACACAGAACAATCACAGATTACATGAATATAATTTTCAACTATATCACCATTACATTCACCATTAAACATTCGGCAATGTTTCTCTGCCAAGCGGATATTCATATATTAGTACGTCATCTACGTAAAAGTAGAGATGGGATGCATCAGGTTTTCTTGATATGACATGATATTTAATGGGCTAATATAAACTTCTTCATATTCTATTTGCTTTATATTAGTGGTTTTCTTTCAATAAAGAGATAAATAAAACTTGTAAACAAACATTTAAAAACCAAGAGGCCCAGGCCTGTATCGCTCACCTGCATATGTTTAAAATAATTGGTATGAAGTAAAGATATAGCACTCCATGGTAGGTGCTGTAAGTACATATGAAATTTCAGAAAGATCCATCCAGTACTTGAGATATAGCGAGAACAAATTTCAAACAGAGCCC